CTCGATTCGATTTCTCAGGAAATGCCCTCCGTCGTGGAAAAAACAGTGAAAATCGGAGACTCCTGGCAGATCCGGTAAATTGAAACTGGATGGAAAACGGAAGGGGGTAATGGAGAAGGTGGGGAGCACGGTATCATCTCCTTTCAGGTGAATCTCCGCGAGACAACGTCGGAGAACCTGATGGCTGATACATGAAATGAAGATCCTAATTGCTCGGGAAATTTTTAACGGATATTGTGAAACTTCATCCCCGTAATTTTAAAAACATCAATTCGGAATTAGATATTTAAGATTTGTGTACAGAGATCGTGGAAAAAATGAAAGTTGCAAAGGATGGAGATGCACATTTTTAATTTGGCAATTTTTATGCAAATTCTGGATACTGAAGAACACTGTTAAACGCATATGTTATCAGAGATAGCATTAAATGTTTGGAGATCCTAATTGTTGGGAAATTTTTAGAGAATATTGTGAAATTTTATCCTCGTAATTTTAAAAACATCAACTCGATCAAAAAGGTCATAGAAAAGAAATTAAGGTTGCAAAGGATGGAGACACACATTTCTAATTAGGCAATTTTAATGCAAATTCTGGACACATAAGAACACTGTTACACACATACGTTATCAGAGATGGTATTAAACGTTTGTATGATCACATACCAAATTTATAAACGGATGAAACTTCGTAATGAACGCGTTCCTACGTTTAAAATTTCCCGGGAGACCTGGAGCTTACGAACACTATCTGCCCAGCAAATCGTATAATTACAGAAATACTACGTATTACCTTCGAATTGCAAAAGATACTCGATAATATCGGCTATATATTTAAAATTACGTGCAACGTGTACGTATAGACGACAGAGTCGTCGTTCGCGTTTAAACGAATTTCGTTTTCTGCAAAATATCGAGGGGAATAAAATTATTTCGAGCATCTTGGAGACTTAAATTTAATCCCGAGGTCGCGGATTCTCGCCCGCGTGATAAATTCTTCGCGTTTATTCGTTAACGTTCGAGGAACGCGTCCGTCGGTGCTTGAATTCGAAGCGGAAGAATTTTAATGCCAGCCAACTCGATGACACGCTATTCGATTTACGGATGGCAAGTGTTAAAATTGACGAGCGTTCATTGTATGGCCGCGTTGCCGCGCGGTTTAATTGGCCGGCCCCGAAAAGTCCCGGCAAAACGAGATTCGGTTTAATTAATGGGAATTAGCGTATCCGGAATACAACATTGAAATAGTTTCCGATAAATTAATTCGAGACCGTGGCTGGTATGCTTGACCATTCTACGGCGTACGCCATGCCATTTTGATGAGCCCGTTAACATTAATTAAGTGTCGTGAGTATCGCGCCATTTCGAAAGAGTTTAAACCGTTTCGTTAATGAAATGACAATTTATATTGCGTTTTAATTTAAAGTTTGCACGTGTTATTTACACTGTCGATACTTTGTGGACAGAAGCATCGATTGAAATTGTGTTCGATACGAAGACAACTTTGCGATATATTCTTTACGGGTTCTTCGTTTATTTGTTCCGAATTTAATGATAAGTAAACGTGGATTTTTATTTTTTATAATTAATGAAATGGAAACAACCCATCAATATAATAATTCGTATTTCTTATATTTTTCCATATTAAGTGCATTCTGTATTTTTCTGAAAATTAAAACTCGTAAATGTATAAATATCCGCATTTTAATGACGTGTTTAATATCACACGATTTTAAGTAACTGTATGCAACATCCGCCCTTTTATAATATTCATAGTCCATTGTCTTGATTTGCCCAACGATTAAATATCAATGATCATGAATTTTAGATTCCATCGTTATAGAATCGATTGAGTAGCAACATCCTCTGTCGACGCAAGGATTAAAATAAAATTCAGTACAGAGAAGTTATCTGTCACTTTTTTCCGCGGCCCAATTACGCAAGTTCTCAAAGTGGCATTAATTAACCGAGTAATTAACCGTCGAAAAATGGAGATTGGCTCTTTGATCGGTCAGTTTTGATATAAATTTAACGCGTCCGTCCATTAACGAGTTTCGTTGATATCCGTATTCGACGAATTACACGCAAGACATATTTCCGGGGCGAATTCGTAGCCTCGAAAGTGCTCAGGTTTGCCCCCCTCTCCCTTGTAGCTCGTTAATGATCATCGATATCTCCGCGCGCGTTGATTAATATCATCGGCCGCGACACGCGTGCGCTAATTGTGAGTCGCTAATGCACGTTCGCCTGAGCGTTAATTTCTGTATTAAAGCGGGCAAATACGCGACAGAGAAAATTAATTCCGACGACTACGTCGACGTTTTCATCGTCCCAGAAGTTAATTAAATTATTACCTCGGTTTAGATGCGGATGCCGTTGGAAACTCTAAGCCGCGTCGCGACGCGGTTCATTTCTGCGCCGAACTTGTTTCGAGATCGAAGAACAACGCCGCGTCGGGACGCCCGTCGTCTTCCGGATGCTTCACGCCTCGTCATCGTCGAATGAGAAATTATGTTGCTGGAACGAGTCGCGTTCTGTGTAGATACAATTCGATTGAGAAGTTCGCAGAGATAAGAAGTTTAATAGTCGTTCGAAACGTTAGGAAATTATACGCAAATGGGACAAAGAACAGGTGGAAGAATCTGTTGTTTAAACAAACTTTATTGATACAAGGTTTTTTAGATTAATCAAGTATGAGTGACCGTAGTTTTTACGTGTAAATTTATACCGTTCCATTCTGATTTAATCAAGTTTGAGTGACCGTAGTTTTTACGAGTAGTTTTACACTGTTTCATTCTGATTTTCTCTGATCTTGTGTGCTGCAAAATGGAAGAACATTTCGATAAAAATTGTGCTCAATTTTATAATTTGAAAATTACATGCAATTGGGACAACGAGGAATCTGTTGTTTGAACAAACTTTATTGATACAAAGTTTCTCAGATTAATCAAGATTGAGTGACCGTAGTTTTCACGTGTAAATTTATACTGTCTCATTCTGATTTAATCAAGTTTGAGTAACCGTAGTTTTCACGAGTAGATTTACAGTGTTTCATTCTGATTTTCTCTGATCTTGTGTGCTGCAAAATGGAAGGACATTTCGATAGAAATTGTGCTCAATTTTATAATTTGAAAATTACACGCAATTGGGACAACGAGGAATCTGTTGTTTGAACAAACTTTATTGATACAAAGTTTCTCAGATTAATCAAGATTGAGTGACCGTAGTTTTCACGTGTAAATTTATACTGTTTCATTCTGATTTAATCAAGTTTGAGTAACCGTAGTTTTCACGAGTAGATTTACAGTGTTTCATTCTGATTTTCTCTGATCTTGTGTGCTGCAAAATGGAAGGACATTTCGATAAAAATTGTGCTCAATTTTATAATTTAATCGAGAAGTTCGGAGAGATAAGAAGTTTAATAGTCGTTCGAAACGTTAGGAAATTATACGCAAATGGGACAAAGAACAGGTGGAGGAATCTGTTGTTTAAACAAACTTTATTGATACAAGGTTTCTTAGATTAATCAAGTTTGAGTGACCGTAGTTTTCACGTGTAAATTTATACTGTTTCATTCTGATTTAATCAAGTTTGAGTGACCGTAGTTTTCACGAGTAGATGTACACTGTTTCATTCTGATTTTCTCTGATCTTGTGTGCTGCAAAATGGAAGACCATTTCGATAAAAATTGTGCTCAATTTTATAATTCGAAAATTACACGTAATTGGGACAACGAGGAATCTGTTGTTTAAACAAACTTTATTGATACAAGGTTTCTTGGATTAATCAAGTTTGAGCGACCGTAGTTTTCACGTGTAAATTTATACTGATTCATTCTGATTTTCTTTGATCTTGTGTGCTGCAAAATGGGAGAACATTTCAATAAAAATTCTGCTGAATTTTCGCACTGTGGAAAAGTGAAATCAAAAGCTGCACAAACCAAATCCACCCCGTTGTCGTTTATTTGACGGCAGCTGGATTTCATGGAATCCTTTGTGCTTATTTCCGACCGATCCGTCGTCCCTTTGTACACGTTCGACTTTTAACACGATCGAGCATATACAGGGCGTTTCACTCAACTGGGTCCAACCATGGTTTTTTTAAATAAACGACAAATTTTCTTGCAAACCTATATATACTAAATGAAATATATATTTTTTTCCATTTTATAAAAGGAACACTGTTCAAGCCTGAAAGTTAAGGATGATAATAATAATTTTTCGACTTTACTTCCATGACACACTTTTAAAAAATATTATACAGTTCCTTTGGACCAAATGTAGCCTCTACTTTAGGAGTAGACACATCAGATACCATTTAGATCCGAAGAAAATTTGTCCTGTTTTGTGATGTTTGAGATGTCCGGGTCCCAATTACATGAAACATCCTGTACACTCGCGAAACAAGAAGCTCGAACGAAACGTGTTCGCGACAGACAATAAGTGCAACTGACTCGGCCCTCTGGATACAATGCAATCGAACCGATACCATTGCCTTCACTCGATACCCTTTTCCCCATTTCGATGTATCGAATTCTACCCGCCGTTTGCACGGTCAGATAAGTTACCTTCGCTTTCTGACCCTGTTCCTCTCCCGCTAACCTACTCCTATCCCGTTTCGATACTTTGTATCTTTTCCTTTAATTTCCTGGCCTCTCTTAATTCCTGCGCCTTTTCTCGATTTCTCCGCGCCGGGATCCGTGATTCGATCCCACCCCTTCGACCTCTCTCGATTCCATTTCGTTCACCCTCGAGTGTTTTGTTTTAATCTGTCCTTTCCATTGTTCCGTAATACGAGCATTATTTACATCCGTCTCTTCGATAAAAACAAAAAAACCAGCTATTTTGGTGATCATCGAGAGTCTCCTGGAAGCTTTTGGAAGTTTAAAACGCGCATTAGCTCGCGAACTCGTGAAATATAGCATCGAATATCGGGATTTTCATAAACGCGGTCGTAAGTAAAAATTTTCACTGACCGCTCGGAAAATTGTTTTTTCTGTTCCAGTGGTCGAAGGTGCAGCTGGCGAAGTTCTCGATCCTGGAGCACCAAATGGATCCGAGTAGCAATTTCAGCAGCTATCGGAGCACCCTGAAGGCAGCGATGTGGCGTAGCGCCGGCGCTACGGACGAACGACAGAGAATCGTCGTGCCCTTCTTCAGCTTGCTGGTCAAGGATCTCTACTTCCTGAACGAGGGATGCAGCAACAAGTGAGTAAAAAAAAAAAAAAAAAAATGAAAAAAGAAAAACGTTGCTCTCGCATTAATCATTCAAGGGTACTCGTGGATATTTCAAGTTTGATAAAAATTGAAGAGATTCGGTCCCTTCTTTCGCGCGTTAAGTAATTACGACCCTCGTCGGGGCGAAATTGACAAGCACTTTTCATTAACTCTTTTCCCTTCGCCGTTTCTCTCCGCGTCTGTATCAAAGTTGGACGTCCATTAAGAGTTTCATGTTAACTATTCTGCCGGCTCGCTCAACACGCGTAAACTAGAAATAACGAATTGCCCGTTTAAAAGAGGACCTTGCAACAGGTTACGCCTTGAATATCATTTTTAACAATGGAAAAGCTATCTCTATAACGTGGTTCGATCAATAAAATGTTACGCATTTATACAATCTAACGTCCCATATTTTCTGGAGTAACGCTACGGTAAAATATGAATTTCAAGAAGTAATACTATATGGATCAACGTTGCATACATTATTTCGTGCATTTTCATCGTTGACGTGTACATCCTGCTATTCAGGAATTGCGATTATATTATTTACTTTTTTAATTAACAACTACTCAGCGTAACGAGGGTGGAAAGGATATAAAAAATTGCAGTACATGAATAGAGGAAGCAAGGTGAAAGAGCGAGGTTCAGCGAAGTCTTGTTTTGCAACTCTAATTTCATAATAAATTTCCAGACTATTTTACGAACATCTTAACAGTCTCGAATTGTTTTTTTAAAAAATAAGAGGTTTTAAAGAAATGCAATTTTAGAAAACAGTAAGTAAATTTTATATAATTACCGAAATTATTAGCGAAATCTTCTCGAGGCTTCCGGTGTTTCTTAATTTTCAGTATCGTTCGACCCTTCGCGATTCCGTAGATTCGCGTTTCTCCCTCCCGCGAAGGTGCAAAAAAGGGCTTCGAAGCGCGAAAGAATAATTATAAAGTAATTTAAGTTCGCCAGATGCGCAGGCAAATTCCCGGTTCGCATTGAAACGCGATCGACGATTTTCTATCGAGGACACCGAGGGCGAAACTTTTTGCCGTGGCTCGTTTGAAGCTTCGATAATTTTGTTCCTGGCGCAGGCGATACGTCGACAGGAAGGAAGCTCGTTCCCACACGAAGCGACCGACCTTTCCGTCCTTTTTGTCGACCGTATTTATCACGACGACGAATGTGCCATGCCATTTCCTTCGCCTTACTGCGCGCGAAAAACGTCCCCCTTCCACGGGCGCTACGTGTAAACTTATTAAACTTGTAATAGCAAAAGTTGTTGCTCGGCTAGAAGTTGCTGAAAAGAAGAGTGGAGCGTGTAGAAGGGAAAGAGCTCGTCCGGAGAGAGGAAGACGTAACGCTTTATACGTTTAACTTTTTAGTTAAAATTTACAAGAGAATGTTCTGCAGGTTGCAGTTTTCAAAATATGTGTAACTATGAGCTTGTTGAACTGCGTATCGTATTAATATGCGTGGACGAAAAGTGAAAATTTGTGTGAGAAGCTGGTTTTCATAGATGTCTGACCAATGGTATGTTCGTACTACTTACTACTGATTTCTACGTAAAATTTATTAATTCGTATAAATATAAGTTTCTCAGACTATCTACAGTACTAATATCTATGTAACAAAAGTGAAAATTTATATAAGAAGTTGGTTTAGATGTCTCACTAATTCTCGATACTTACTACTTAAAACTACTGATTTCTACTCGAGATCTCTTAATTCCCATAAATATTAGTTTCTTGAACTATCTATAGTACTAATATCTATGTACCAAAAGTGAAAATTTATGTAAGAAGTTGGTTTAGATGTCTCACTAATTTTCGATACGTACTACTTAAAACTATTGATTTCTACTCGAGATCTCTTAATTCATATAAATATTAGTTTCTTGGACTATCTGTCGTATTAATATCTATATATGAACAGTGAAAATTTGTGAAAGAAGTTGGTTTAGGTAGATGTCTGACGAATTTTCGATACGTACTACTTAAAACTATTGATTTCTATGTTTCTATTAATTTAAGTACTAATTTCCATGGTTATACATTTCTTAAACTATCTGTCGCTTTAATATCTATGTGCCAAAAGTGAAAATTTGTGAAAGAAGTTGGTTTAGATCGATGCCTGACCAATTCCCGATAACTACTACTTACTACTGATTTCTACGTGAAATCTGTTAGATTCTATACAGCACCGAGTATTACAAGACTATTTTCTACAATGTTATACCATCGTAGTTGGATTTATAATACGTTTGTGCAATCAAATATTATTAAACAGTTGTGACTTTCGTTTTCCTAGGCAGTGTCCACGTTTTTGGGTTTATCTAAACTCTTCTCTTTTTATCTTAAATTCCACTATTCTTTCCTTTTTATTGATAACACTTGTTCCTTGCTTTTGACGAGAGTAATACCTTTTTGAACAAATTACATTCGTATCGCCTCTATTTAATTCAATAACGTTGTTGATTACCAAAAATTGATAATGAGAAGAGATTCAGTGCGAATTATGAATGCAAAAGGTGTGTAAGTTTTTATTTGCCCGTAAATGTTTGTTCGGTAATAATATCCGGGAAGTATTTCCCATCGTTTTCCGACCGTTTCTCGTCGGAAGTAACGGAAATCGTAGCATTTCGGTGTTCGCCCCGTCCACGCGAGGATTCCAATAATTCCCCGGTTTCAACGTGAATATTTTATGACCCGGGCCTGATTATCGCAATGACGCGGCCACTGGAGCCCGCTTTTTATTCAGAAAACTCATTACGCGTACGATTGCGCTGCCGAAATGAAACCGTCGGGTCGAAAAAAACTGGAACTTTCGTCGGTGGTAGGGAAAAAAAGTTCTATTCGGGAATTGTTCCCGCTACTCGAGTCGGTATTTACTGGACAACCGCGTGCATAATGCACGGCACCGTATATATATATACATGCGTCGTCGCCGCCGCATCGCGTAACATATGTGCATTAAACTCATAACGGGCGCGCGTTATCTCCGAAACGACGTAGGAAACGCGGAGAGATCTCTGGCAGAATTCGTGTTCGGGGCAGCCATCGTCTGAGCAGCGCCCGGGGAACGTTTCCCTCAATTCCAAGAACAGATCACCGTGCAGACACGCGAATACAAATTGCTCCGAGACGCACGCAACCTGCAGACAAATGTCGGCGCATTAAACGTTTTAGGCGGTTCATAGAGCACGAGGATCGTAAACTGCGGCCGGCCTCGGGGATTATTGTCCTCCGTACGGGGCTACGTTTAATTATTTTACATAATTCGACGTGGACACAATCGTGTCAAGCATGGAAGGGAACAAAAATATAGAGGGTGCAGGTAAAAAATATTAACACAGTCGAATAGTAGGTTAATGAAACTTATTTTAAAGGAAGATGGGCAATACTGTTATTTAACCCTCTCGTGCATAGATCTATTTAATATGGAATACGTCACAGTCGATGTGTTGAATATAGAGGGTGCGGGGGAAAAAAAATTAACACAGTCAAATTAAGGGTGATGAAACTTGTTTTAAAGGAAGATGGACAATACTGTTATTTAACCCTCTCGTGCACAGATTTATTTAATATGGAATACGTCACAGTCAATGTGTTGAATGTATTGGGGAAAAAAATTAACACAGTCGAATAATAGGTTAATGAAACTTTAAAAAAAGATGGGCAATACTGTTATTTAACCCTCTCGTGCACAGATCTATTTAATATGGAATACGTCACAGTCGATGTGTTGAATATAGAGGGTGCGGGGGAAAAAAAATTAACACAGTCAAATTAAGGGTGATGAAACTTGTTTTAAAAAAAGATGGACAATACTGTTATTCAACCCTCTCGTGCACAGATTTATTTAATATGGAATACGTCACAGTCAATGTGTTGAATGTATTGGGGGAAAAAATTAACACAGTCGAATAATAGGTTAATGAAACTTTAAAAAAAGATGGGCAATACTGTTATTTAACCCTCTCGTGCACAGATCTATTTAATATGGAATACGTGACAGTCAATGTGTTGAAATAGTGGAAATATATTTCATGGAATACTTATTTGAAACGATATTTATCCCTGATTTGAACAATATTTTGAACATTCTACAAGATGAAATTTCTAATTTATCCTTCCAAAATATTTAATTTTCTTATCTTAAATAAGGGATCTCCAAATATTTTGCAAATAATATAAGTCAGTTTGAGCGATGCGATTATTAATTTTTCGAATCCAGTGCTACTCCATTACAATTAAATTTAATTTTACATCCTGCTAAATGTTCTCTGACACGATTTTAAAATAGGGCTACGGCGACTGACAGGTTAATTTTCCCTCGTGTAATTTTTCTCCGCGCGCAAAATGAAAAAGTATCGAAGCGAATGGGAACTCTGTAGCCGTCCATGGTACAAGTTTCAGTATCTATAATATATCAATTACCCTGGAAAGTAGGATTCGTCGATTCCCAATCCGTTTTCCATACACCGCCTAATAAGGGAAAAGGTCTGTAGCCAATTATCCTACCTGCTTCACAATGCACGAAATCCGTAATGGAATTTCGATCCGGAAGGTCGCTGGGTACGTGAACGTGGGGTGAGTTGGAAGGGGAAGGGGGGGTTGAAGAACCACGAGGGAAGATAGGTTTCTCGAAGCCACCGATGGATATTGGCCGATCGGAACAGCCAGAGACCGAAGACGAATAGCTGGCCGTATGTAAATGTCTGTTACGTGCACGTTACGCGGACGTCGCGTAGCCGGAAGCGAGCGCCGCCGGCGCGCGAGTTCACCGTACATCCGACCAACGATAAATTGCTCAAGTTCGATTCGTAATTTTCCGATGGCCCCCCCGCGAAAGCACCGTACGTGCCTGCGTGTAGCCTCGGTCGTTGTATCGTTGCGCGGATCGTTACAGGGGAATTCGTTCCTTCTTTCGATGGATCCGACAACTTTCGAAACGATCCTCCGAAACCCCTCTCTAGAAACTTTATGTTTCTCGTTTTACGAACAATGATTTTTCTTGCTTGCGAAAATTTGCAAGGAAATTCGGTACACTTAAAAGTATATATTATATAATATCAATTGACTTGTTGTTACTTTTTATGATAGACAAGTGCAATATGATTAAACATACACAGTATTGCAAGTAAGACTAATAAATAATAGTGGATTCATAGTGTGGACTAAGTAATGGTTGACTGTTACTACTGGGGAATTATAAACTACCACTTAAAAGTATATATTATATAATATCAATTGAATTGTTGTTACTTTTTATGATAGACAAGTGTAATATGATTAAACATACACAGTATTGCAAGTAAAACTAATAAATAATAGTGGAATCATAGTGCAGACTGAGTAATGGTTGACTGTTACTACTGGGGAATTATAAACTACCACTTAAAAGTATAATATCAATTGACTTGTTGTTACTTTTTATGATAGACAAGTGTAACATGATTACACATACACGGTATTGCAAGTAAAACTAATAAATAATAGTGGATTTATGGTGTAGACTGAGTAATTGTTGACTGTTACTACTGGGAATTATAAACTACCACTTAAAAGTATATATTATATAATATCAATTGACTTGTTGTTACTTTTTATGATAGACGTATGCAATATGATTAAACATACACAGTCTTGCACGTAAAACTAATAAATAATAGTGGAATCATAGTGCAGACTGAGTAATGGTTGACTGTTACTACTGGGGAATTATAAACTACCACATAAAAGTATAATCTCAATAGACTTGCTGCTACCTTTATAATAGACGTGTGTGATATGATTAAACATAGTGTTGTACGTGAAACTAATGAGTAATGGTAGATTAGAAACAGTAGTATGAGTCAACCATAGTGCAGGCTGAGTAATCGTTGACTGTTGCTACTGGGAAATATAAACTACCATTCAAAGATATAAAATATATTGATTTGCCATTACTTTTCATGATAAACTCACATAATATCATTAAATTTGCTTCACACACTGCTTTATTACTAACGATCCTATAACATTTTCTACAGAATAATAATTTACCACCATTATTTAATAAATTGAGTATTTCTATGTTATTCCAAACAATAATTTTCTCAAGACCCGTTATAGTAAATAACTGTTAATATTGTTAATAGGAATTTCAGAAAACCATTTATTTTTTAATTTATTACCATTCTAAAATTGCACAGGGAAAATGCAGTGTCAGTATCACTTATTTGGGAAATATTACAGAATATCGGTACCTATAAATGAAAATAATCAGAAATGGTATTACCAACGATCTAGTCAACATCGTAACTTAATAAACGATGGAATCATTTACGTTTAGTTTCGCATACTTCTATTTACATTGAAATTACTTTACATTATCTGAATGTCCAGAGTCGTTTGTCGAACATAAATTTTTATTTAAATTTTAACGATTGCGTGCAGCGAACAAGCTGGCGTAATTTTAAACATTCTTTGATAAATGAACTGCCTTGGGCGAGTAAAAACGTTACACCGACGCGTTATTTTTCGAAATAATCGTCGACCCGGAAACGGTTCTGTGAATCATTGCGTTCCACGGCGATCCATATTCCCGTTTGTTTCGAATATTACTATATGTAACTGTATTTATTAAACTTTGAATTTTTTGAAATATTCACAAAGTAATGGTAATATTACAATGTCAGTGATTACTTTTTATGCACTTTTATAACGATCATTTTGCGATATTACGATTTTTTATAATTCATCCGAAGCACCGCCAGTTTGATTCGCTTCTTTTTTCTTGAGAATGATTTTAAAAAAGTTTGAAGATTGTTTGCGCATAAAATCACATTGCTTTCGAAGAGTATATAGAACTTGAAGGGACTACTCCGAAACTTCCCGAGTTTTCCTCGCAAACTGACCACTTTGAGCCCACTTCTTGAAATTACGAAATGAAGAAGCTCCTAAAGCCTCTCTTCGCATGAACTTTCCTTTTGCCCAGTAAAATATTCAGTTTCAATATTAACTCCTTGCAGAAAGAATACATATTGCAGAAACCGGTCTATCGAGTAATTTGAACGCCCTAATTATATGCAATATTAATTTTCCACTATATTAACCGATCGTATACTAACACAACTGTCGTAGAATGAAAGTATATTTCAACTAATGTTAAAACGTTTTAAAAAATCTTATTCCATCAATGATTATAAAAATATTAATAGATTAAATATCATCGTATACCTTGAGCCTACCCTCTGGAAAATATTCATATTTTAATATTGATATACTGTTAAAAACAACGTTGAAAAAAATGTTTGAACCTCACAGATCCGTGATATCTAGACGACGGTTCGTAACACCTGCAAATTTTATATATTTCTCCAATATTCCTGCAGTCACTCCAACTTTTCGAAACATACATTCTGCAGATGAAGGCTTGAGGGATAAAGTGATATTTCTTTCCAAAGCTTTTGTCACATTGGGAACGGTGTTGCAAAAAGTGATAAATTTTACCGTTGAAAACTCTTGGTATTTGTATTTCATCTCGCAAGACGTCACCCACAATGTTCACCGTCATATTTTTCTATGAAAATTTCCCGCGGGTGCAAATAATAGGCTAACATTTGTTCCTATCTACATTTAAAATCGGTTCTTCGCATTTCCTCGCGCCATCGGGACCTGTACGAACAACTAAAAGCAATCCTCATTAAATTCGAGTCAATCAAAGCATACGTCAGATCGAGGATTGATTAATTAGCCCTAAACTTGAAATTTGTGGAGCCAACCATTAATTTAGCGTATCAATACGTTCCTCTGGTGGGTTAATGTAATTGGGATTATCCGAAATTAATTTAACAAAATAACAAACAGCGGTTATTACGTAAGTAACTCGTGACACTACGTAAACAGGAGGTAACGTGCGCGTTAAGGGGCTCGATGGTGCAATTATCGATCCTCCGCGCGCTTCGTCCGACAAGAAACAAGATTTCGATGCACTTTGCATATTTCAATAAAATTGAACACGGTTTTTGTAACCAACGGGCAATCTTTATTTTTAAAATTAACGAACTTAAATAGTTTACTTTTTCCACAATTTTATACACATTCTTCCTTTCCCAGTTCGTCACATTAATAACAGACCGCGGATTCTGTGCATTTATGCTACACGATAATATAGCAAACGTATGCAAAACATATGCAGAGTATATTTCATAAACGAAAATAATATTTATAGTTTATTTTGCATAATTTCTGCTGCGTGAGTTTGATGTATGATTTTCATATTTTCGTTCATCATAAATGTATAATTACTTCGCGGTCTATCGAACGATTAGGTCTTTGAATTTTAACCGAGAATATATAATTTTTTCTGATTTATAGACGCGAAAGATTTAAAATTCTCGAAATGTTTTTCGAAAATCACGAACCTCCAACTGACGAGATTTTGTGCGATCGTTCATCCGTGTAATCGTTATTCCAGGCTGCCGAATGGACACATTAACTTCGAGAAATTCTGGCAGCTGGCGAAGCAGGTGACGGAGTTCATCGCCTGGAAACAAGTCGCGTGCCCCTTCGAGAAGAACCCACGTGTCATCGCTTTTCTTCAGGCGAGCCCGGTGCTGGCAGAAAACGGTAAGATGCTTCTTGTTTAATTTTATTCAAATATATCTATCTTGAAAATGTAAACAAATCTTTAATCGATGAATTTTTCTTATTTTCGCGTAGCTCTGGCATTAGCATCGTTCGAGTGCGAGCCACCAGACAACAATCCAGAGAAGGAACGTTATAAATCTTTAAAGTAAGTAATCCCATCGTTCAAGATAAAGAGTACTCAGCGATCGATCGTTTAAAATGTAAAACTAGGCAATTGATAGAAAAGTAAAAGAGTTCTTGTTCGACTGGGAGGTTCACAAATCCCTTTACTTCGATTGTCGATGGGCGTTTGAAGTTCGACGGTAAGCATTTTTATAAATTTCGTGTCGACAGGTCGGAGCTGAACGCTCAGTGAAAACAACCTACCGTGCAACGCGTCGAATGGAAGCGATACTGACGGACCGATATATAAATAGACGCACTCTTATAAATGTTAATATATTCACGCACGAATCTACTACGAGGGGGAGGTCAGCCTCCGCGGGGATCGAGAAACGAGTCGTGGAGAGGGATGGATCCGAACGGCGAACGAGGGACGACGATAATCGTGAAAGGAAGAGAAAAAAAAAAAACTTTACGACGCGGCGACTCGCTAGCGATCGACGAGAAACAAAAAAAAATAAAAGAAAAAATTCACCGTAGTGATCTCGCATCGTTTAAGGACATCGTTTAGGTACTAGGAACGCCGACGCGGTCGTCGACGATTTCCGTGGCGGACGTTTACGTTTTATCGATAATCGAGTCGCGACTGGACCGCGAACTTCCTGCACTCGCGAATATAACGATCGCGCGCAAACACCCACGCGGAGTATAACGCGCGAGACGAACTATTAACGTTGTTGTGTTAATTTACGAAATATTTACACGCCATTCTCTATGTGTTTACCGTTTCATCGTGCGGTCCAGTCGCGAGATCGAGGTTCGAGCATGAAAATAGAGACTCTCGAAACGGCGAGATGCATCGAGATATATCAGCTTTGAGAACGGAAATCGACCGCGTCGGTCCAAGTCGTCCGCGGATCGAGGCTCTGAAAACGATGGGGCCGGTTCGTGGTAACGAGAAAAAAAAAAATAAATTCAGTGAACAGTATCGCGTAGCAGTAAGTATAGTTCCTAAGCCCGAGGGCCAGCGAGAGAGCGCTCTCGAGCACGTTCCTCGCGAGGTGTTCGAGAGATCGTTTTCCCACGGTCTACAGCCCCTTTTGTACATAGTCCTTTTGATATACGCTAACGAAACTCCTAGGTGTGAACAGAGAGTGATGCAGACGGAGGAGGAAGGTGAAAGAGAGAAAAAAAAAAGAAATATAGGTTCGTTCCTGTAGAGTAAGCCGGAAGTTGTCGTTTTTAAGATTCTAGGATACGTAGTAGCGGACGACGGTCGTCGTGCACGTACTTAACGAACGATACGAGAGAACGTCTCGACGCGATCATCGAGACAACAGGGGGACACGACTCGCTCGCGACCGCGTGCAGTTACGTTATTCAGGAAGCGTTTACATCTTTCCGGCGTTGACGACGCGGCTTCGTTTGCCAAACTCCCGGCGACGCACTTCTCGTCGATGAGAATAAACGAAATTTACCCCTCGTACGACTCTCGAGGGAGCCAATACCGCAGCTGTTTGCGTAGCTCTCGTATAAACAGGGGGTGAATTGTATCGAGAGCGTGGAATGAGATTTCTTTCTACGAGTTTTCGCTTTCTGAAATTATCAATCTTAAAGTTTTGATAACGATTTCGTACGAAGAACTGTTCACACTTTAGATAGATTGTATATTGGAGCACCATAATCGACTCGTATCTGAGATATTAACAAGTGTTTTTATTTCACAGAGGAAAAAGAGCAGGACTCGGTTTGTTAAAACGTTTTGGTACAGTATTCTTCATTATTTCAATTACATAATCGATTTTAAACTTTACACATTTTACGTATAGACGCTCTATTTGGAGATATAGAGTTACTCCAGCTCGTATTCGTACACTATAGTGATTCACCATGAATGAAAAGAAAACTTGTTTCTTATTAATTCAATCATTGCTTTCGAAACTGATGTAAATCCGTTTTGAGGTATTTAAGGGTTTGTGTTTGAATAAATTATAAAGAAAACTCGTCATATTATTACTAACAGCTACTTCGTAAATAGAAGTAAACACACTGTAATAAAAGCAACGTTCGATTTAAATAAATGGAAAAAATTCATATGACACAAGTTTCCATTAATTCATATTGTCTTGCACGAGAAATTAGTAAGTAATGATACATTGTGAATAGTAGTACGAGTCAATCATAGTGCAGTCTGATTAATCGTTGACTGTTACTACTGGGAAATATAAACTACCATTGAAAGGTATAAAATCAATTAACTTGCTATTACTATTTATAATAGACAAACATAATATTAACCCCTTCCCGTATTTTAACGAGTTTGACTCGTGATGAAGATTTTGGCCGAAACGTGAATATCACGAGCCAGACTCGCTAACAGAAGGTCACGATAGTGATTGAGTTTTAGTTCCTATCAGTACGTCACAAGAGTCGGTTACGATTCTTATAATCTCTGTTACAAAGTAGTTTAGCATCAGTCTGGTCTGTTTACCGCGCGTTGACGCCTATAGTTTGGGCCCGGATTTCGTCGAGCTAAATGCCACGGGAAGGAGTTAAAACTATCATTGCTAAAAAAAAACATAAATCATTACTAAATAAATTCAGTATTTTAAATATTGTTAATGGGAGTTACAGAAAACCATTTAATTTTAATTTATTACCTTTCTAAATTTGCATAATTTCGTTCGTGTTTGAATAAATTAAAATGAAAACTCGTCATATTATTAAACCTCTCTATCAATTTTATAATCAAACATTGCCTGTACATTAAAATTAAAAAAAAAAACTACTTCGTAAATAGAAGTAAACACAGTGTAAAAACAACGTTCGAAATAAATGAATCATACAGTGTACGAATACGAATACGTGTAACAGTACAACATTTGGTTGAAATAAATGGAGGACGCCATTTAAAATATACGCGCGCAAAAGTGTTCCGTTCCCACCTTTTCGATTTAGTTTCTCTTTTCAAGAATTCGCTTTCTTGGAGTAGCGCCGCGTGCACGTGACGATCCCCGGGAGACCTGGAAATGGTTATGGAAAAAGCTCCGTTTCTCGCAACGGATCGACATCGACGAAGAAATGTTTCCGCCACGTGCGTCGCCGGGTCTCGCGTTTTGTTTTTCTTTCGACGACGGATCTCGACTTTCCGCCGATTCGAGAGGGCGGAGGATCGATCGAGTCCCCGGGATCCCGTCGACCAAACAAGCGATGCTTTTGTTTCGTTCATTGCCTGGATGAACTCGTAATAGACGGATAGAGAAACAAAGAGGAGAAACCAATGGGATGGCGGGATGGGAGGGGGGTGCAAAGGGGGTGGGGATGGATTTTGTGAAAACATAGGGACCAAGAGTTCGTTTTTCCTGGGTATGAACTGCGTCTGCGACACGTGAAGAGAAATATTCAAGGGATGCGCCGACGATTCGCGATTCCCGGCGAGGAAACGCGAAAACGGACTGTTTCGAACATTTTCGCTCGCCAATTCGTAAATACTTCGCGTACTGAGAGAAACCTTGCAGTCATTAGGCATTTAAGTAGATAATTTCCGTGTGCCCGTGCACGATTATTTATAGATTTTGTTTTTCTGTCTGTTCGACGTTAGGCAGGATGAACGGGTCGACGACGACCCGGTGCTTTGCGCGCGTGAAAAACGATTTTGCAATCAAAATTGCAAGGCCGTGCGTTCACGGTAAAATGTATCATAGATTATTTTCATTTTAATTTAATTATTTATACGAACGTACTATCGATTTTTTTTTTTGTATTTTTTAACCAACGTACTCAAACGAGCGTGTACAAATGTTTTTCTAATCCATCGGTGATTTTATTTTCGTAATTTCGTTGTAGGTCTTTACTAAGAAGCGTTTAAATTATGGCAGCTCTTCTCGTATTTAATTCGTAGCTTGTACGACAACGCTTCCCTTTCGTTTTTACTGTTCCTATCTTATTTATACAATCGTACCGTTGGATATACGATATTTTAATACCGCAAAATATTTTTCTACATTTCTATCGACGGTTCCCGTGATAAAGGCTTCGATCGTAATTAATTTTAATCGCGACAGAATAGTTTTAACGTGTCACGAGTATGGTAAGAACGTTTATTCGTTATTTGTACGAGCCTGTGTTGATGAACGCTACATTTTGCGCTACAGGACTAATCGATGCGAATGTTTCCCGTAGCTATTGATACTTTTAACGTATATATTTCGCGTTCTTCTCTCAGTACGAGAAACATGGGGATATGTGTATCATATGCAACAGAGTAGCGTCGTATGTACGAAGACGAACCAGAGTCTACGCGAAGATCGCGCGATAAAGAAAGTATATTTCATCGATCGAGCCGCCAAAAAATCGAAAACACCATTGCACGTCGGACTCCTTTCTCCGAAAACATTTTTTAATGATGCGTACTTCGAACAGTGTTAGAATTGCCACCGTACGATATTACTAAAGCTTCTCGGTAACTTCACTCTGATAAAATTGTACATAACGCGACGAAAGAGATTGACTGGTGTTTCTAATTAAATCATGTACTTTTAGAATTACATAATTTTTTACATCCATCGATATAGATTTTACAAAGTTATTAAAAATCGCATAGAACCACATAATTGACTACTTTCGTGTCGACGTGCACGCCGTTACTATCATTTTATCTTAAGAATGTTAAGTATTACCTATATTTGGAATACAGCTTGATATCGTGTTCCATAACTGTAAGATATTTTATTCTTATATTTAATTCGATCCCCTGTTGCTGCATTCGATGGAGGATTTCTTTGTGAATACTTCGCACGCGTATATGTATACTCGATTATCTTAACTACAATTGTATTTTGTAACAATTTCGTTGACTTTTGAACGTTGTGTCCGCCTCGAAATCGCTCAACGTCGAGAAAGGAGTCCGACGACACAAGTAGCCCGAAGAACGTTCTGGCATTAGGGTATGTTTACACTGCTGCACTATTCCGTTAGGAACAATACTCGAAACTCTCGAAAAAGGTCGGTTTTAATGACGTAACATGCACGAGACGTCGGAAATAATTCATCTAGAAAATAAAATTTCTTACGAACCTTCGTTTTCCAGATAATCGATCTTGAAAATGAACCGAGCACGCGCTTTTAATATCGATTTTCCTGAAAAATAATTGTCCACGTGAAAAACTGTTGCTCCATGTGTTCATTTTATTTTTTCGAGAAGAATTGTTCGTTGTTATATCTTGTTATGCTAAAACGTGTATTGTCTACTGTGCAGGGATCGTAAGTTGTCATGAAATTACTCGTACTACATCGAGCTACAAGAAAAAGTGGACACTCAACAATTTACGATCGCAATTTAAAAGCAAACGAGTATGGGACACGAGGTAATTTCTTTAAACAAGCGTGCTGTTTTATCTTTCGTTATGTAGATTGCATACATAAAATGTACAAAAATTTTATGAAGAAATCGTACGTTTTAAAAGTTAGTATTTTCAGAACTGGAATTGTATTCGTACTTTGGTAGAATTCGATTTACTTTTTACTCCTGATCGAGCTTTTCTAACAAAATCAAAGTGTCTTTGTTTTTTTTAATAATGTGACGCGTTTGCAACGTGCGATATTTTCCATGGCTGGTGGAAAACATCGCACGTTAACGCGTTACCAATCAATAAATTATATTCCGTCAACAGTGATACGTGGCAATATTTAAATGAAAACAAAGTATTAGAATATTAGATTCTCCAGGTTTGGGCCAAATATTTCGCTCAAAACCACTTCCCTCTACTCTTCTACTGTTGCTACGTTCTCCAAAGTGTATCTATAACGCGGCCTTTGTTCACTTCAATTTACCAATTTTCCCATTCCTACGCACACTCTTCTATTACTCCCCCGCAACAGTTCGTTTCGTTTCACCGAATCTCTGTCCCCGATAAAAGAGTAGTCAGATAGTGGGATTAACTGCTCAATAATCTCGAGCACAAATATTTGACGTCCATCGAACCTGAGATTATCGATAAAGATCGTGAGGTCTTAGCAACGTAAACGTACCCTGTGTGCACCGAACGAAGTCGACAATTATCCATGCACGTTTATCATAGAAGTACACGATATAACAATACGGAGTTATGGTAAAACGTAATAATTAATGAGTGTTAACCGTGTGAAGCCACCGCGCGCCGTTTGTCGATATTCGAACGAGAGAGACGATCGCGTCGCCAGTCGTTCGAAACGAGGGAACGCCTCGTTCTCGTTTGAAAACGGAACCGCGAGGCGATCTACACGCGCACACGTAAACACGGTGATCTCGAATACCAGCCACTCGATTCCTTTCGCACTCGTCTCGACTGATTTCTCGCGGGCAGCAGCACGACTGGTCGTTGTAATATTTTCTACCGATCGCTTTTTTCTACGATTTTTGTAAACACGAGAACGGAGAGACGTGAGAGATGCTGTACCACCGATCGTCCGCGTAAACGACAAGGCGAACGGTCATCGACCAGCCAGGAAATCGCTCGAGTGCCGCGCGAGTAATTGATTCGTTTGGAAAATAATAATAACCGAGCGCCGCCCACGCGCGTCTCTGTCCCGTTCTCGAACGATTTCGCGAGGACGTAGCTGCGTAACGAACACCCATAGTTACGGTTCTGTACATAAAAGGAAGAAGAAAAATGAAAGAAAAGAAAATCGTGTATATATATATAGTTATATGACACATAAACATATGCGTATATCTATGCGTTATTTAGAGTCTAAGGTTGGATAGGCCGTAATCGAATTTAAAAAAAAAAAGAAAAAAAAACAAGATATGAGTGAACCACGGCGAGGAGGTGGGCGCAGAAGCGACCTCGACTTGCGACGTCAAGCGTCGACGTCGATGGCCTGTCGACCACGATAATCGCCGATCGATCGATCCGAGATCGCCTAACGATACCTTATAGTACACACGAACCTTCATCCTCGAACGATTGATTGATTGGAAGAGAATACGAACACTTGCTTACTGTCTAGTCATTAGATCGTTAGTCGAGGGCCCGTGTCAGCGATCATTGCGATCAGAAGACTCGCGCGCCTCTCCTTCGGTGCTTCGTATCGCGTGTTTCGAACGAAAACTATTATTTTTTTTTAAATAAATTATTTGCATGGAGGTTGGCGCAGTAATTGTTTCGCGATTCTTTCTTCGATATTTTGTAATGAATATGAGTCTTTCATTATCTTTTAAACGAAGCATGCGTGAAAATTATTATCCGCGCATCATTACGTGTTTTCTAAAATATTTGCCCGAAATTGTATTGTATTTCTTATCACGAACGAGACAATGTTATCTTTACGCTTTATCTTTCGTAACTCAGAGCCTCCGACTCTATTACAACGGAAATATGTGATCGCGTAATCGGCAATAAAACCGTAGATTACTCGCTCGAGATCTGAAAATGTTCGTCCCGTTTCGAATTAGGGATCGTTCTATTTTTGTTTGTTTATCGTTCGAATATTTATGGGAAGTTATTAGGAACCCAAGAGTATCGATCTGCGAAAATATTTATTGAATCGTATATTCCTCGATGTAGAATAACGTAATCGATTCTTGGCGATACTGTCCACGTGCTGCAATTTAAAAGAATATTTTATTTTATTTGAATTTAAACGTAATGCAAACCCAGCGAAGCTAAGTTTAAACCGAAGGTGTCGAGTGTTTTCTGGAGCTGTAACACGGGCCGCGTTATGCCTAAATTAAGAGTATTCGGGTTAGAGTTAACGTTAAGTTTCATATTAAACGTATTTTTGGCCGACATTCCCTTAATTGTAAGACGTTTATAATTACACGATGAAAAGGTTTGCGTAGTTGAGCGGATTTCATTCACCGATTTTGCTTGCGTGTAATTCTCTCTATTTTTCGCTCCTGTTCCATTCAGCGACGATCGTCGTTCATTTTCTCGGACGTGATCGCGACGCGATGATCGTTTCGAAAGTATTGGAAACGGATCACTGGAGAGAGAAGATGAAACACGATCGTTATTCGCGGACTTTCTATCCATCGAATTTAACACCGTGATCGCGATCCATTTTTTAGATTCGCGATTTAAACGCGTATTGCGGAAACAAAAAATCAATGTAATTGGTCGAACGATCGACGGCTCGATTGTCCTTTTTATCATCGACGTATATACAGTTGAAACTTTTAAAACATATTTATCAGTATATATAAAATAATCGATTCTACGCAACGGTTCTGTTGAACGTGTCAGTGGAGGAGAAATCAGGATTGCAATTAGTTTTTAAATTGATCAATATTTGTAATAATCGCCGTTTCATCTATAATAAAAAATATCACGTTGTTCCTTAAACCATCCACTACGAAATATGTATTTCCAAAAGAGACTGAGGGCCGAAAAAATTTCATCAAAATTGAATCTTAACTTTCGAACGTTATTTTAAATAATAATCTCGAGTAAAGATTACTTTTTAATAGCTGAGACGATTTAGAATACTAAAATAGTACAAGAAAAATGAAACCTTGAAAGTTGCACGTGCCTTGGGTGTTAAAATTTTTCAAATATTCCGTTATCGAATCACTGTAAGGGAATACACATTTTGTAAAAAAAACAAATTCAAGGAATTAGGTAATATTGTTTCTTATAGACGAATTAAAGAAGTACGTTGCTTTGCAATAATCGATTTTTATACGATGTTTTTAATTATGAAACTCGGCAATTTTTGTATGTTTCTATGACAGATGAATATAATATTATTATTTTCCTTCGTAAGGAAACGTACCGTAGGAGATAATTCGCAAAACGAGCGATAAATCGTTTTATAAAACAGAAAAACTGCCAACGTTGCATATAAAGTGGAAAAAAAAAAAGAAAAATTGTTTACGGTCGGTCCAGCTGTCGATCGATCCGCCTGAACAGATTGCGTACAACGATTTCATAATGTTACACGATTTTTGCAATCTCGTAGCGTAAGTCACCTGAACCTATTTCCTTTTCTTTTTCAATTTCGTTGTTCGTGCGTCGATTTTATTGTATGAACGTCGAGGTTTCTGTTTCCGTGGTTTTGATCTATCCAATCGAATATGTTGGGACTATTGTACATAAATAGGCTCAATCATGTAACAGCGACAAGACAGCAATTACAATTATTGTAGAAACGATGATGTCTTACGAAATAAACTACAGATTAATGGACGTTTCTCCAAGAAGTGTTCTTTAGACTCGTAAAACTATCCATTCCAATAATTTTTATTCTTTAGATTCTAGGACGATTACAAATTGAAGAAGACAACGCGTAAGTGGGGTATAACACAGGAATATATTGCACACAGTCCTCTATACTACTATACATCTTTAAATGATTCTGTAAAATAATGAAAATCATTTGCTACGGAATTAATAACTTACGTGTAGAATAATGAAAATCGAATTTAATTTTAAACCTATTACGCATAAATCTAATCGATCAACATAGGAGTAAGTAAACAATTTAAGTATCGACGCATATTTAAGGTTATTATACCTATTCGGTATTGCCTGAACAAACACGTGTTGAAGTTTTACGGATTTTTAATTAAACTCTTTATCTCCCGGCTAGAGATTCTCTTATCTTCTGCTCGATCCAACGACGATAATAAGATACTCGAACGTAGACACCTGGCTTATTAGCTTCGCCACAATGTTGACCCCAACTCGTAATTCCGTATAACGTGAAAGCTCCTGCATAAATATTACCGGAAACTCGTATTTCATTGATAGACGTCCCAATAATCGGTCTCTTAAGAATCTTTTCTTTCTTAAAAAGCAAACGGTAATAAAGGTCGTCACTCTTCGTTCAAGATAAGGCGTTTTAAATCGAGGTATTTATATTATCAGCGTTAAAAATGCTTGGAAGCAGAGGTCAAGTACGGGATTAACAATTTCATATTATCGAATGCAAACTATTCTGTTCGTAATAAAAGTAGGACGCGTCCGATTATTCGAGCAGCTATTTTACTTGAATTTTACTGCTATTTTAGCTACGTTACCATTGTGATAGCACGCCAATGGCCCGCCAGAATCACCGTCGCAGGTGTCAATACCCTCATCGAGGTACCCCGCGCAGACCATTCCGTCGCTGATTGCACCCCCGCCGTAAATGTGCTCAGCGCGACACACCGACTGGTCCAACAATGGTATCCAACCGTATCTCAGATCCTTAGAATGAGCTACGAACAATTGATCTCACATAATAAAAGACTAAATTTTATGTAGACTTAACTTTCGTAAGTAGACTTCATTTAATTCGATTATTTATTGGGAAGTCCCTCTTCAAGTGGTTAGCAGATAAAGCCCCAGAACGATAAATCCTAAGTAGGTTTAACTCTACGAGCTTTTAAGTTTGTAATAAATTATTCACTTGACTTTCCAGTCTCGATACTGCCAAATCCACTGATGGTGCAGTTAAGGCCCTCCGGGTACTCTGCATTTTCGGGTGGCAAGCAAATTGGCATGATGTCCTTGCCCAGGAAGATCCCTCGTCCTTTCAGCAGCACGAGGGCAATGTCATTGTTCATTCGATGACCTTTACGGAAGTCTTCGTGTATGTAATAGTCCTCGATGTTGGCCTCCGCTTCTGTCCCCTCGTCTATCTAACATAGTCATCCATATTTAGCATCCTAGGCCTGAAACTTTGAAGGATAGTTGCACCCCTTGCACAGAAATTTAATATATCGGTTCTCTTTTATAGAAACTCGTCCGTTGCAAAATGGAAGCCTCGATTCTCAAAAAGCATCAGATGGAATATCCTTCAGACTTCATCTTTATAATAATGACGTCTCTTATAATAAAGACAGTTTATGTTTAATTAGTTCATTCGTTCCATATTTCAATTAAAAACCTATTGATTATGCTACTTTCGTACAGTAAAAATACTACAGCTATTAAAATTTTAAATTCATTGAGCAGAACTGACTTTAAATTATAAACAATAAGACATGTTCTTGATAAAGAGATGAATATAATTCTTGCCTAATTCCTATATTATATTTTATTACAATATAATTTTATTATATTTGCTAATTTTATCATCGATTAATTTCAAACTTTGGAGGGTAGTTTTACCCCTCACACAGAAATTTAAGATATCGGTTCTCTTTTATGGAAATTCTTCCGTTAGTCTATTCCTCGAATAACTCTTTACTATTGTAGGTGCGAAACAAATAGTGTAGTTCCAAAAACAACGCTTCTTTCGTACCAAAATGGAAGCCTCGATTCTCAAGAAACGTCAGGTATTCTTCAGACCTTGTGTACGATTAATTTTAAATCACCTCTCGTTTATAGGACAAAGTGTCGAGATTTGAATTACCTCCGTGTTGTAATCGCCAGCTCGAACGAAGTAAGTCCCTTTGTTATATCCTTCCAAGCAGTGGGCTGCAGTGAGCACGTGCAGGGGCGAAAGGACCACAGCACCGCACCAGTGACTCGATCTGCTGTGTCCTCTTACACGAATGCTGGCCTGTCAATTTCACAAAACATAGAATAATTAAAATGAAGACCCCGAACAGAACAAATAAACGTGAAACGTTTAACCATTTAGCTTTCAGTTCCAGCCAACGTGGTATTTTTTTAAACATGGACCATTTTCAGTGGAGACTCGAGCTGAAATTTTAAACAGTAGTTAATCCTTAAGTGGACTCCCAATCTCAACTGAATTTTTACCAAATTATTAAATAGAAATTTTGAAATAATTAGTCCCGGCAATCCACTTGAGGATTAAAAACAATAATAAAAGGTAAGAACCTAACTGATGTAAACTGTCCACGTTCTACTTCCCCTTAATTTGGAATTGGTCTTTCTTCTTTCTTATAATGCGGAGTGAAACATCGTTCAAAGGGACATCGTTGTTTGAACGTTTCGAGTTTCGAAAAAGGCGAAAGATTTATGCGTGATTCGAAGGGAAACCGGAATAAAATTGGATAAAGATGGGATTTACCTGCCATGGGTAGGTGCCTTTCGGTGCAACGGAACCGTGCACCACCTTTTCGAATATAAGATCCTCGTCGTCGTTGAAGTCTTTGAATCGCCTGCCGCAATTGGCCGGAAGTATATCGTTGATGTCCGTCTGTGGCAAATCCGGCAGGGACTCCCAGTTCAGCTGCAATTATTGATTCGATAATTGCACTCGCGGATTGAACGGACAAAGGGGAAGATCGGGGTCAAGGAATGAAGTAAACAAGCCTCGTGATCGTTGCGTAAGCTCATCATTTATTGAACTGATTCTGAATTACCTAACGATCGTTTACAAAATCGCTCGATAGTTTACAACACATTAGCTGACCTGTCTATTAAATAACTAACGTAATCGTTGCATCGTAATTGCTTTAAATATTGCTTACAATATAATTATGTTACATTACGGAGAACTTTGATGGGCAAAGGTCTCGGTTGAAACTGCGCTACGGGTTTAAAAATAGTACGCATCTGTTAGCTACTAAAATTTTTCTCTACGAAAGCGCACTAACTACGAGAGCTATTATTATATATTTTTAACGAAGTAATTATAAATTACACGATGTCAGAATTCGAATCGCTATAATAATTCCAACGCGACAAAAGATTATGTTACTTTTCTTCATTTTTTCAATTATTCATAGCACAGCCATCGTAATGGTTCTCGGTATTAAAGGAAGTTAATCGAACTTCAAAGGAAACCTTTAAAATTTACGCCCTCCTTCGAGCGAGAGTGTTTCGATTTACCTCGGAATCGGTAACATCTCCAGGTGTACAAATCACACCCACGTCCTCGTCGTGATTGCAATTATGTTTGCCCCAGTGATTATGCCCGCATCGATATAGCTGAGTTTCGTTCCCGTGACAGAAAACCTTGTTCAGAAAATTGTTGCGTTTAGACAAAATGGCAACGGTTGCGATTTTAAAATTGATAGTGTTGGATAAATGCACTCGTGTAAAGAAAAAGTCTTTTCGATATATTGGCCTTTTGTCAGTAAAAATAAAATTAAATAAAACGGTATCATTGACTCTTGCTTTCGATAATATATCGAGAATTGCAGGATACTAAAATTGACCACAAAACGAATAAACCTAAGAACGTCAAATATATTTGAAGATTTTTTTATTTAATTATTTTAAAGTAGATAGATGGAAGAAAAATGAAGAATCAAAACACATTTTCAGGGAAAATGAGATCAATGAAAGAAATGAATGTATGTTTTTTCAATGAAACTTACTTCGTCGAGCCAAATAGGCCCCTCTCCGGACCCAAAAGCGCCATCTTTTTTTACAGTAGCTCGTCCACCGTATCCCAATGATCTACAAATGACCGTAGCCGCTGCGTTCGAAAAATCATCGTCGCAGACCGTACCCCAAATGCCATGATGGCGAACCTCGACTCTTCCTTCGAGAGGCGAGCTTCCGTTCGCTAAACGTAACTCGAAAGGCGCCTAAAACGATCCCTTATACTTGTATATCGTAACTCCATGCACTCAATTAAGAATTTTTAATATTTAATTGTGTAATTTGTGAACTCGTAGCTGGTGAAATTGATGTAATGGTAATTTCTCGCGATCGTTTAGGCTTTTTAATAACATACAGTTGTCTGCTTTAGTATATTTTGTTACTCACGTCGCAATGTTCAGAACTTTCGTCGGAGCCATCGGGGCAATCGACGACCTCGTCGCATATAAATGCAGTTGGAATGCACGTGGGACTTTTGTCGCATTTCCAATGACCTTCTTGACAGCTATCGACTGCAGTCTTACAAATAACACCCACTGCTTCTTCCGGTTGGCAATTGTGGACTCCCCAACTGCAGAAACAAATATAGAAACCATTGTTCGGTGACTGACCTTTTTAAGAATTTTGTTTTAAATTTCTGAAGATAGTCACAGTTGCAATTCATTTATTTAGATGTTTGTTTCGACAAGCTTCTATCTAATTTGATATATGCAACTGTATTGTAGCTTCAGAATATTTTTTAAAATGAGACTTGACGTAGACACAACATTCATTACTCGTGTTAAACGTAGGATGATCTATGTTAATGAGAAAACATTTGAATAATGTAATTTATAAAACTACTAATTGACAGTATAGTTCAACGCGTAACACAGAATGATTTCTGTTATTTTTCAAACTTTTTAAAATGAGATATTCGAATAGTTAAAATAGAAACGAAATTTGAATAGGTAGTATTTTTCTTAAAATTACCCCTCGAAATCACATTCGCGCAGAGAAGTCTCGTTGCCCCGACATCTCAATTGGTCGACCATAAATCTCGTGGATGGGTCCATATTGCCATAGAATCCGCCTGGTCTGACTTCCAAAGCACCAAGAACGAAACCCAGTTCCTTGCATATTACGCCTGCATCGATCATTCCGAAACCATCGTCGCAAACTTGTCCCCAAACACCCAATACTGCACAAATCGTTGCACATTATCAAAGTGAACATTTTTTTGAAATCACCAACTAATAAACAGTCGGTTAAAATTATTTTGTTCCGTGAGAATTAAGTAGTTTTACAGTAATTTATTTTGCAGATACATGCTTCGTCTCTGTCGTTAAATATGATCATTCATAATTATACTACACGCGAGTGTCTTTACTTACTTTTAACTTCGACTCTGCCTTCGTATTTATTTTCCGAACCGGCCAGCCGAATTTCGTAATCCAAATTTTCCACGGTGCAGATACTCTCGTCGCTGCGATCGTTGCAGTCGTTCTTGCCGTTGCAAACTTGAGTTTGGTTTATGCATTTTCCATTGTTGCAAACGAACTTGCCCTCGCAATTTATACTCCTCTCCCTCATCTCGTAATAATCAAACTCTCGATTGGGTTTCAACGATCCTGTCAACCCTACGTTGCTATCGCTCAAAAGACAAATGTTTCCTGACGCCCTGCAAAGGAACACGAAACAAGTTAGAAAGTTAATGATTATATTTTCCGTGCGCGTGAAACACGAGCTATGTTTGTTTTTTAAATTTTCATTCGATCGTGATTTTAGCGTAATAGGAACGCATTATGAATACTTGCTTTCGAGCAATGATATTATAAATGTTACTTACTTGTGTGCAAAGGATCGACACGTAAAATCAGCCTCCTTGCACCTGAGAGCACACGTTTTTAACGGTGTGTTCAACCACTTTTCAACGTCGTAGCCTTCCAATTTTTGCTTGGACTGTTTTTGGAAAAGATCCATGTGCGACGTACAGGCCCTTTCGTCTGCTCCGTTTGTGCAATCCTAAACATTCAACAATTACACATAGCATATAATAAAATAAACTCGTGAATGCATTCGTGGGAACATATTTATTTTTAAATTTCAAATTTTCCTTGACCAAGTATACGACACAACTTGATAAATATAATTTAGCGAGTAAAACTTGATATAGTAAATATTCAGAAAATAGCTCAATGAACAAAAGAAAAGGTAAAAAAATAATAGAAGCTATTTATACCTGACCTGCCCGAAAGATTATAGTGCTACTACGACATTGAAATTAGATATTATTTGAATATGTCCATTAGTTAAGCAGTTGTGTGAGGAAACAAACAGTTTTAAAGATAACAAGAAGAGTGCTCATTAACTCACAAAATTACCTGTTCGTTGTATTATCATCAATAAACAGGAATGACTGTCATAACTATTTTAAAATGTAAAACTTGTAATTTGGAGGCTACTGAATTCTAGATTACTGTTCACTAATACTTTTTTCTATTATTAGCACGCTGAGCTTTATCCCTCCATATAAAAAATTTTTTACAAACGAGAAAGCTTCAGAACAATTTTTCTCGTATAAATAGTAAAAGATAGAAGCGGTTTTGAACGTTGTATGAAATTTACCTCCTCTCCGTCGCACACCCACGGCGAAGGAATGCACTCTCCTGGTAAGCATTCGAAGTGTTTAGGTTTGCACTGGCCCGGCAATGGTGATTTCTGAGAGCCTGAAATGATCGTATTATTGAAAAATACTTTGGAAACGTCTAAACTGAAAAAGAAATAAAAATTCTTGTAAATAATACCGGTGTTGCCGCAAGGTGGAATGTCGCAATATTCCCGTTCTCCAGCTGGACCCGTGAAACACCATGGCCTGATCTCTCTACTCGGATTCGGATTTCTGCAGTAATTGTGAGCCTTCAATTTTTCCCTGACCTCTCTATTAACCACCTGTGTCAATGTAACGTAGAGTTTACTTTAACGTGTTATTCTTTTTTTTTAATTTGAAACTGCATCCAATTAATTATAAAAACGAGAAATAGTGGAAATCTACGAGAAAACGTAGAAACTAACGTTGACTATGAGCGGATGTCGCACTTTTTCGTCGGCCCACGAGAGACACTGTTTCCCCGACGATGTTACGTTTGCGTTTCCCGCGTATTGGCTTCCTTTTCCGTAAATGCAACCTAAGCGAATGAAAACGACACGTATCCGTTTTAAAAAAATATTTGTTCTCGATCGACGATTTCGTTACTTTCATTTTAACCCTTTGCACTCGTATGTCGCCTACATTTTATTATTACACACATATTTATATTAGTATTTCATTTTAGGGAACCTTGTTACAATTTTTTCCTTTTAGTTTCTGCTTAAATATGTGTGTATATACAGGGTGTTCGGCCAAACCTGGGAAAAATTTTAATGGGAGATCCTAGAGGCTTCATTTGTTGATTGAGGTTTCGTTGAAAAGTTATTAAAAAATTAAATTTAAAAATTTCTAATCATTCACGGAAAAATTATTTTCGGTTGCGGGGGTCAGTTACAATCATTTTTGGTGAATACACATACCTCCGAAATCCTAACCACTTTCGAGAAAAAAATTCAGAAGGTTCCTAAATTTTTCGGCGAAAATAAAAAATTTCAAATCATTCTAAAAAAATTATTTTGAGTTGCGGGGGTCCATTATAATCATTTTTGGTGAAGAGACATATACCAAAAATCCTACGCATTTTCGAGAAAAAAATTCTTTACCGATAATATACTGTGTGGAAATGTTTCTATAACTTTTTAACGAAGCCTCAATCAACAAATTAGTATCCTTGATTTTGTTCCCGAGGTCATTTGCTTATAAAAAAACAAAATCATGAAAGAAAAATAAAAAATTGTAAAACAAGATTGTGTTTTCGAGGGGAATATTGGAACTATATTTCATACATTCATAAAGGCTGGTAATAAAAAATATACTCGAGCCTTTAGTATCCCTCTGTGTCTTACGTGTTCCTTCCAATTTAGAAGTCAATTTTATTTATTTTTTAAATATTTTGAAGAATCAAAATTTATATACACATATCATATAGATTCTCACTGTTCAAGAGGAGTTGAGATGCAGATTAAATTTGTGTATATTTCTAATATTTTCTACTAAACCCGATAAGTTAAATTGTAATATGTTCCCATAAAAATGTTTTTATGTAGCCTTCTCATACATGGATACGAGTACAAAGGGTTAATAGTTATCTGGCAGATATTGATATACGTCGATTCAACAGTTCGTACCAATGTCATCGTAAGGTCTCTCGCAGATATAAGAGTGACCTTTCGTGGAGGTGGCACAGTCCTCGGTGTCCCAGAAGAAATAATCTGCGACGCAAATTGAATCTGGCCTGTCGTGACACGGAAATTTGCGTTTCATCACGACGCAAAGGGGACGAGAACCCACGATCGGGGAATGTTTCTTGTCTTCCATCCAACCTGGCCACCATTTCGTGAATCTAGTTGGAATTAACGGGTCTCTAAGTTGTTACTTTCCATCTTTAACCCTTAAGTGGATTATTGGGGCCGCAAGTTTAAACTAATAATTGTTTAATACACGTCAATGTAATTATTCGAAAATTTACGTAATCCTCCATTAGTTCATTATTTTTGACATACTTTGAAGGAAAGTTGATTTCCATCTAACAGTTTGGTAAAAAATCAACATTAAGTAAAATAATTCAGTCGAGATCGAGAGTCCACTTAAGGGTTAACTTCCGCATTCTAGGGACGAGTTTTTTCAAATAATTATCCCTACTTAAACTTGGCGCGAGACGAGTCTTCCCAGAGCCAAAACGTGCGACTCATGGTGGTGAAACCGACGCCGGAAGTCATGATCGAACCGACTTCCGGGTGAGCCTGCGACACCCATTCGGAGACGAAATCATTCTCCGCCTGGCTGGTGATATCGAGAAGTCGTGCCTGTCTATTCGAACAATAATTCAACGCTTCCGGGTGGCTCGAACTACTGTCAGGGTCCGCCAGATGATAACATTGCCCTTCGTAAGGTATCTCGTCATCGCGACAATGCGCCACGCGATTCAGCGTGCACCTAACGCCAATGGCGTCCCTCTCTATTCGACACTCTGGCTCGTGGGTGAATCTGAAAAATTATCAGCGAGGTTTTTTTTGTTTAATCGTCGATCTTCGGTCATTGCGTAAAGAATGTCACGAAAATTGAAACGTGTGTAATCTTATCGTCACAGTTTCCGAGAACGCAGCTCGCGGTCGAAAACACTTGTCGGCACAATGTTTATTTCAAACGTCAGAAACTTAAGGATAATCTTATCTGTTGACCGGGATTTGAATCTATGAATCATCGCGTCTTACTTGCACGATTGGAATCTAGTCTCGTTGCCTTGGCACGAGACAAAATTCGCCGCGATCCAGGTCGGGACCCCGTTGCGATTGTTTCTTCCCTGCCAGGCCATTTCGGCGCCCCTGTAAAACGAAAAGTGATATTTCGCAAGTTTTTTACAGCATAAGGGTCTGATGAAACTTTTCGATACATTCCACGTACTTTAACATTTCAAGATACAAATATTTTTGTTTTCGTTACGTTTTATCGACTTTGGATGAAATAATAAATGTTATACCTTATATCCCCCATATATTCCTTAACTCCTACAATTGTTAATATCTTTTGATGAAAAAAATACTGTACACGCTTATAGGATGAATGAATATATCTGCAAAATCTTAGTACGAAACAGCCTACCTAGCATTAAAAAAAAATCACAAAAGGGGTTGAAAGAATGATAGTCTAGAGATGCGTGTTAACGTGGAATTTAAAATATGCAAATTAGATTTGAGTTAACGTGTAAAATACCTGGAGTAGCCGAGTTGTTTGCATACAACGTGAGCCTCTTTCAAAGTCCAGCCGTTTCTCGAGTCGCAGACGACTCCCCAACCGGGGTTCTTTCCTTGGACTTCGACGTAGCCGTCGTGGGGCCCGGAACCACCCCTAAGTCGAATCACCTGAGAAGATATTGAACAAGCAAGCACGAAATCATTGATTAATTATTTTCAAACGACGTCGAAGAAGAAATATTATTTTCTTAAATTCTCACCTGGCCAGAAATCGGCGTTGGCAGGTTCCCTTTTTTCGTGTGATCGATTGGTTTCACCAGTGGCACGTAGTACGATGGAAACGGTGGTTCCTCTGAAAAATAACACTCGATATATTGTTATAATTACAAAATGGAAGTGTTAACAGCGTCCTTTGCTTAGATACACGGCTCGAAAACAATCGTACGAAGCGCGTGCAATTAACTTTTATTGCGATGTTTCTTTACGCAACGATGCATCGTATCGATCATGTGATTATCGAGATAAATGAATCTGTCAATGTTATTGCGATCTTGAGAATATTTTCAGCCCAACGTTAGGAGATCATTCCAAGAGCGTTTCATGCTAAAAGCAGATCGATTATGCGGGGAAAAGCGAAATACTCACCTGCTTTACGTTGAACAGGACAATGACTCGAGTACAGGTAGTTTCGATAGACCTACCTTCTTCGGACGGAGGAGTCTCGATATTGGCAGGATCCACGTCAGCCCTCTTCTTGGTAATTTTCATAATAACGGAGGACTCTGTGGTCGTTTGAGTCTTATTCTCGAACACCAGCACTGGCTTCCAAACTTCTTTGTCGTCCAGCACGTCGACTTCGTAATCCGGATCCTCCGTTGTCGAGGAACCCTCGTCGTATTCGATCGACACGCTGGGTACGTTTGGATCCATCGTGGTGAAAGTATTCATCTTTTTCTTTCGAGAAATTATCATATGCTTGTCTGGAACTCTCTGAGTCGTACCAACAACAAAGTCTGTCCAACTGTTCGAAGAACTGCTCTCCGGCGGTTCAAGGTCCTGCGAAGGAACGTTTGGGTATCGATTGCTGGTATTTGGTTCGTCCAGTCTTGGAGGAACCAGAAAAGGATCTGGTGGTTGGATATCTGTGGAATATCGATCAACGTTCGTCGATGGGAACGTTGGAGGATCTTGAAAACGCCTTGGAGGCTCGTACGGCGGTGGCTGAAGATCGATCGCTGGAGCGGGTGGATAATTCGTGTTCGTAGGATCGTACAATGGTGGCTGCAAATCGGAAGCTGGTACTGGTGGGTAATAATTGTCACTCCTTAAGTTGATTGACGTTGGAGCAAACGATCGATTCGGAGGTGGATAACGAGGCGGTTGAAGATTCGTTGAAGGAACGAATACACGATGATGATCTGTACCTGTTTAAACGATTGTTAAATAATTTATGAACTAAAAGTAATCATTCCTGTTATAACTAATTTTAATCGTTAAACTACGCGTAAAGTGTTTCACAAAAGTTTGATATCGAAGCTTGGTTTTGCAAACTTGTCGAGATTTATTCAGTTTCTCGCGTGGCAGCCAACGCGTTAAACCTTATTGTATCGTGCTAGTAAAATGGAATAATTGTTACCAGACTCTTGTAAATCACCAAAACCAGACGAAGGAGACGATGAGTCGATTGGACGTTGCTTGGGTGTGCGATGTCCACTGTTTTGTGGATCAACAGGACCGTAATATGGTGGTCGAAGATGTTGGTCCACGGCTGGCCCAGAAAAAGGAACATTACGATTGAAATCGTTGGATTGAGAATCGAAATAAATATTCTGGTCTTGTCTGTTAAAATCATTCGGGCCACCGAGATCGTTTGGTCCGTAAGTTTTCGTTTTAGAGTGACCCTGATTGACCTCAATTCCACTCCCAATAAAATGACCTCTGTTTTCGTCTACGTTCGGGTACTGAGGCTTCGGAGAATCGGGTGAATTTTTAACTGCTGTGAGAACAAAAGAATATCGATTGAAACGATTAAAACGTGGAAATAAATGTTAAAATATCGTTGACGCACCTGGTCGACGTTGTCCATTAACATACTGAAAAATATTTGTTTTCGACGCCAGTTGGTCCAGCTTCGAGTCTGCTTCTCTGTCGGCTGTGCTTTGATATATGTTAGTTCTAGATCCCCATTCGCGGAATTTGTCTTCATTGTTAACACCTAAAAGAAATCGAATACCACTGATACCTTATGCTTATTATTCGTATCGTTCACGTGGCTTCTGTAGTTACACGAAACAAAATGAAAACAAAACTCATTTTCTCCTCTTCTCAATTCTTTCCTGCAATTCTTCGATATACTTACGTGTATTTTAAACATCAGCTTCTATACGAAAGGTTCACGCGAAATGGAAGGAACATCAAATTTTTGGACGTTCCCTTTCCTCCACGTGAGCCCTTCGTATATAGAAACCTAATTGACTACTCGTTATTCTGATTCAGCGATCTTACCTTCAGGTTTGTTTGTAAAACAAACTCCAAAGTTTATATATGAAGATTTTTATTGTGCCTTTAAATTTGGTGTAAATGCATAGAGCAATGCATTTTGAATTCTGCCTAATTGGAATTGTGAATGAATTTGAATGTTACAAAAATCTCGTTCTCAAAACCACGCTATAATGTAACATGCAGTCGAAGCAACAAAACTAGAAAGAACCCTCGTGCATTGCATGCATAGATTCCAAAAGCAGAGTATTGGAAGAAGCAAAGGAAAAGGATCAATAAACGATTCCTGGACCAAACTTTTCGTTCGTGTGATCGACTAGTCTCGATGAAAATGTTATTAAAAAGGAAGTAAAAATTACCTTGATCCCATGGTCGATCCTGCGGTCGCGTTGGACCTTGCTGACTCCAGCTGCTTCCTGTCGCTATAGGTTGTGTCCATCTTGTTTCGTTTCGTACAGTCTCTGCGTGTTGGTTGACTCCTTGCGAAAATCCAGGACCATTTCTGCCGTATTCTTGCCTGTTGGGTGCAAACTCTTGTCCTGGCCATCGATTCGTTGGCGAGTTCCCTTCGTTTCCGCCATTGTGATTCCAAGAATGATCGAATCCACCAGGAACGCCTCTCCGGTCCTTCGACTGATCAAAAGGAGCCTCTTGAGTCTGTTGGCCAGCGTCGTCGTAGTCTTCCGTGTAATCGGGAGAAGAATGAGGCTTTTCGCGATGGTGATGATTTGGTCTAGGACTCCAAGTTCCTTCTGGAATTCCTTGGTCGGGTCTTTCAGGCTGAGGATGATCGTACGGAGAAGCAGGCTGCTGAGTTTCGGTGTTCGTGTTAGATCCGTGAGAATGATGATGCTGATGGTGATGATGGTGATGATTATTATTTGGGCCCTGATTGTTTGGTGGCCATTGATTGTTCGAGTCTTGATCATCAGGACTATCGTAGGTACCCTGAGCAGGTGGTTGCCAATTTGGCCTCCAAGTTGGTCGAAGCGAATTCCAGTCCGTTTCTGGACGATTAGTCGTCGTTGTGGGTCGATTAGAGTGACCTGGCGGTGAGAAGCCAGGCGTGGAATAATTGTACGATGTTCGATTATATTGAACATATTCCCACCAGGGTCTCGAGCTGACAGGACCACCCGTCCATGGTCTAGACGTGGTTGTTGTTTGCTTTTCTGAAAGAAAGATCGAAGCTTTGCTTCGTGGGAATCAACACAAAAATGTTTGCTAACTACCTCCTCTGCAAGCAAGTACGTTTGGAAGCCAATCGCAGACGGACATCTTTGGATCGAAGGCTTTCCCAGGACCGCAATCCTCGACGTAAGGGACTCCATTCATGCATCGAAGGAACTTCCTGCACGTATCCGGATGTGGTAATTTTCCCGAATGACCGGGTGGACATTTAACCTTGTTCAGTGTTTGATCTCCATTATTGATCAGTGGTGTCAGAGTCTTCTTGAAAGTATCTGGGTTGTCAAGGATTTTCCATTATCATTCTGCATTCTATACGAGCTTTGCCAAATGTCGATAAAAATTATGATGTAATTGGTAAAAATTTATAAATTATATAACATTGAAGCAACTTTATTCGTCATATACTGTTAGTATCCCCCAATTTGAGAGGAATAGGAACGTTCGACGTACGAATCACATTCATTTTAAGAAGACTCGACTGCGGATCTTTGTGCAAATTCATATTTTTATTAGCAGAATTAATGAAATGTGAGCTTTGCAGAGGGTTCTCTCAACCCCTAAATATAATAAATCGTATCTTAGATATTTCTTATATCTTTGCACATTAAGTGAATTTTGTTTGAGAAATGATGTAGAAAAAAAAATCTTGATGAAATATTGTATCGCTAGCATTTATAATTGTAAAGCTAATCAAGTGAATCATAAAGCGTTCTTTGATTAATTCTGTTATCGTACCTTCGCAGCCTCTAACTTTGTAGGGCCAATCGCAGACTCTGATGGCTGGGTTGAACACCGTTGCGGGGGCACAGTTCATGATAAATGTCCCGCCTCTTTCGCATTGCAAAAATTTCGTGCAATCCGACGGATGTGGTAAGAATCCCGAATAACCGGAAGGGCATTTAACCTTGACCTCTGTTTGACGTTGATTATTGACAGGTGTTTGAATCACCTTCTCGAAGGTATCTGCTTTGTCGAGATCTTTCATTGTTATCGAATCATTCTATACAAACTTCCCCAATTGCCGATGGAGATTATAATATAATCATACAATCACTTTTAAGTTACAGGTAGATATATAGATTACGTGATGCACAACAATCTCGTTGAAATTTTATATCGCTAGCATTTATAATAACGTTAATCAAGTAAATCGTAAAGTGCTCTTTGGCTAATTTTGGTATCGTACCTTCTCTGCATGCAACTACATTAGGAATCAAATTGCAGACGGACATTCTCGGATCGAAGCCTCTCCCAGGACCGCAATCCACGATGTAAGAGATTCCACTCACGCATCGAACAAACTTCCTGCACGTATTCGGATGTGGAAACAATCCCGAATTGAGAGGACATTCAACCACGATCTCTGGTTGACGTTCATGATTGACCATTGGTGTTGGTTTGTTCTTCTTGAAGACGTCTGAATCAACTTTTCGATTATCGATGGAAATTATAATCTACTGATCACTTTTAAATTACAAGTAGATTTAAAATTCAATTTCTAAGACACGATACATAGATGCAGAAAAATCTTGATAAGATTTTGTATCGATCACATTTATAATTCTAAAGCTAATCAAGTGAATCGTAAAGTGTTCTTTGGCCAATTTTGGCATCGTACCTTCACAGCCTATCACGTTAAAGGGAAAATCGCAGCCACTGACGGCTGGGTTGAATACCGTTCCAGGGGGACAATTCCTGATAAACGTCTCGCCGTTGTTGCATTGCAAATATTTCAAGCAATCCGACGGATGCGCCAACATACCCGTCACATTCACTGGGCATCGCAGTGTCTACGAATAAAATTTCATATTCACAAGGAAATATGTTATTTAACACTTTCGATTGGTATTTAATAATAGGGTCAGTTACCCTAACATGGAACACCGCAATATTAAAGAATCGTGATATTGATCATGATCGTCATTTGTTGCAATTAGCGTCCATATGCCTGAATTCCAAAGCAACACGTGTTCGTAAAAGAACATATTTAATATAACTAGTGTAATTTATATAATAAATATAGTATTCCATATTACAAGCACTATGAGCCTAACATGGAAAATGAGGACCTCGGTAAAAAAAGTAAAAGTTTCCTAAACCGTTATTATATTTTAAATTTGACCGCTACCAGTTAAAAGAGCATAAAATTTCCTAATGTTCCGTATCATGGCAACTGACCCTAGCATTTGTGCCTAAAAATCCTCGTAATCATATGTGTTACACTAACTTGTAGTTGTTCGTGTTTCAGGAAATTTTGAGAACCAGATAACAATGGCTCGCGTCTACCTGGCGAGTCCAAGCGTTCGTTCGATGGAAAATCGGCGACCTCGCCGCCGTAACACTTGACTTTGTGCGGAAAATCGCACTCCAATGTGACCGGATTGAAAAGCGTACCGGGGGCGCATGCCTGAACGAATGCTCTGCCCTTCCAACAGTCGACGAAGAACTTGCAATCCGGAGGATACACGAATTGACCGGTCGAATCGATGTCTGGGCACTGCACGCCCAATTTCGGGTCGTATCGAGCGACTGTAGACTTTGGTTCCGACAAAAGAATCTTCTCCTTGCGTGGTTTCTGGAGTGAACAAATTAAAAAGAGGAATGATAAATATAAAAAGGATTTTTTGAACGTAGAGTACTAAAAAAAGAATGTTTCGGGGTATCGAAGATTTTGATTTTCTGTAAAAATACTTTTCTCGACGTTGACGGCTATTTGATCTTCGTTACTTTCCGTGCAACGAAAGAAAAGTTATATTACCGTGCTGTCGGCAGATATCCCCTCGTAAATGGTTTGGTCACTTGGTTTCTGTTTCAGATCTGGCGAGCCACCCGGTTTCGGAGGAAATCTCTGATTTTCTTGTTGTTCGAATTGACTGTACTCCAAAGAGTAATCTCGATCTTTGTCGAAGTTTATGTGGGACTGACTGTCGTCCGTGATTTCCGTTCTTTGCTCGATTCCGCTGTCAGGATTTGTCCTCCAAGGACTCCAGGTCATCTGCTCAGAGTTCACCACGGTCGGTTTTCTAGGTACGGGATTGTCTGGATCGGTCTGCCATTTTGGAGAACGCGATGGATCCTCGCTCGACTCGATGTCGTCATTTTCGGGCGTGTACCAGGGAAGCACTGGTTCCCGTCGTTTCGGTGGCTTTGTTGTGGCTTCTCTAGGGTCGTAAATCTACGCGATAGCACAAGCAACAATTATAAAAAATAATGGAATTTTGGTATGAAAATGGAATGGAATTTAAATCGCTAAAAGTTAAAGGTTCGTTACGATACTCTGTGTCTTGTGTGCATTTTAAAAATCGAAACGATCATAGTGGGTTAAAATTTTCTTTAATTTCCTTTGTACAAAGTTCATATAAAATTACAAAAATTTAATACAGTCGAAAACAATTGAGGCAGTGATGTTCGATGTAACGGTTCGATAATAAAATGTCTGCGATATCTATCGTGTTGTAATAAATGTATGTTTTAAAATATGAGTAAACAACAAAAGCTTCGAGCAAGGAACACATTGTATTACAACAATTTTTATAAGTGGGAAAGAGAAGGATCAATATCGTTTATATTCGTTGTTGTTATTATGAGCATTTCTCTTACAATTAGTCGATATACTTAGTTCGCTATGTATCGAAGTAAAATTGACAATATATTTATTTCAAGCGATAACAAGATATAATTAGATATTATGCTGGATTTACGTATACGAAATATGTACCTTTAAGATATATAATTTTCAATACTTTGGAAATGATATATTATGCTAAAACATATTGACTTCTTATACTGTAGGAAATTGTAGAATTTCGTTTCAAAATCATCCAGTTCCAAGATCAAAAATCGTTTCCATTGTTGTGCAGAGTGTTTCGTAAAGTCGGAACATACGAGTGAAAAAGAAAATTTAAACAAATAATTTCGACAAATCTCGTTTCAAGTTCATAGACGCATTCATGATACTCGATAAATCGTTAGAAGACATTCTCTTGCGAAGATCAATCGTGTTAAAAATTTCTGTCTGAACTTTGTATAACAGATGACAACATCAACAAGACTGCAACTTGAAAACAAGATTCAATAGGACAAATATTTACAGAAACTACTTTATTATTTTCGTATTATAACCCTTTCGTGCAAATTCTAGAGGCCTCTGTCTCTCGTACCTTTAGCTTATCAGCGCTTATCTCGTCAATAAATATTAACGAGATCAGTCTATAGAAAGAACACAGTCCTTAAATATTAGCGATCTTTCTCCTCTGCGGTGTTAATTAACACGAACAAACAATGGAAAATAACGTAGAATTATTGTAAGATCTCGATTATCCGAAATCCATTGGAGAACAGAATTTTTAGCTAACGATAGCGAAGTAAATATACGCAATATTTGTATGCAAAATTGGTACGTACATGTTCTGGTTATATTTTATTTTGTTATATATTCATGCATATACTTCCACATATATGGAATGAAGACGTTTAATAATAATATATACTAAAAAGTCTGCTTGTAGATAAAATAAATAAATAATTGTCAGTCTTAAACAAGCTATTTTTATTATGACGTTTAGACTCGTACGTTTCGAATCGCCTTCGAAATAAATGTAAATTTTGCAATCTACAAATGTAGAATGAAATATAATAATAAACAAGAACCATAAATTTCTCACCAGGAAATTAGCATTCTCAATCGATCGACAAAATATTATTGCAACGTTTATCAAATTTATTCCATTCAATTTGAATTCGATTCAAAACGATATTAATCTACGGAACGCGTAAATAAAGAATATTCGTACGCGTCAAAGATGACAGTCGTTCGCGGTTTGTCATTCAACGGTTGGTGAAAAATTCTCGAGCACAATGATCGTATTATTGCAGAAACCCGTTAAAAGACAATCCACCCGTAAATAAACACTCTCTGTACGACGATCGAATCCCAGTTTAGTTTTAAATTGAAAAGAAATGCTTTCGATCGCGTTACTGTTTTCGATCCTCGGGAAATTTCTTTCCCGACAAAAATATGGATGATGGATACGTGGGACCGTCCATCGAAATCCTTGGAAAAAATTCACGTCGCGCACGTATCCGTTTCAGGGTGTCGACCCGTCCGGAGCGGACAATTCGTGATGTGGTTTAAATCACGTGGCGACGATCGACACCATTGGGTCAACGAGCAAGAAGGGAGGAACACGTACCGCACGAGCGACACCGACCACGCAGAGAAGAGCGAGAAGGACGAGGAGACGATCTAGCCGCGACATCATCCTGAATGCATCCACGGTACACCAAGCATCCCGCGGTACTGATCTCCTTTTATCCATAAAACCGACCAGCGACGTTTGCGTCGCGTAACTTACTCGGAAACGGCAGATAGCTGGTCGTTCTTGGGAGAAAACGCACAACGGTACGGGGAATAGAAGAGGTTATCAGTCGCGGAGGTCGAGGGTCGGTGTCGGAGATCAGCGTCGATGGTGGAATCTCGTGCACGGAGAGAGAGAGAAAGGAACGAACCCAACGACGAAAGAAGAGGGACGATCGCGTTAACGAAAGAGAGACGAAGGGACGCGCGGTTTTGTCAACTGGGCAATCGAGCGAATGCACACAGAACTGTTTGCCAATTGACGACTACCAGGAGAACAAATTGGCCCTCGTTGGCAACAATCAAACGCGACTGCATGGCAAAGAGGCCGACCAGCGCGGCTGCAAACAACGCCCGGGAACGTAAAAGCAAACAGCTGGCTGGTGTAATTGCTGGAGCAAATATAGCGATCTACTTAAGTTAGCTTCAAGTGGTCTGTTAAACGATATCCTCGATGAATAGGAGGCTTCGCTGGGTACAGAGTCCCGCGTATCGTTCGACGTCCATAAATGTTGACTTTGGATGCCCAGGGGTAGCATGGACCAAAGTCCGGAGGAAACATTTAGAGTGTTTTTATGAGATCGCTATATTTGAAACGCGTTTTCGTTAACTCCGTTACGGGAAGCTGTGCTTCTTCGGTGAACGACGGTCGCAGTTGATGGTTCCCCGTGTTCGATGGGTGCAGGTGCCCGTAGTCGGATCGAACACGTAGGTGTACTGGCAGTTCATCAGGTTGCAGACGCCCTTTCGACATAGCAGGTACTTCGAGCAGTCCTCCGGATACGCCTTCATGTCGAACTCCTTGCCCTCCTGCGTGCAACATAACGATAAATGTCCACTTTCAGCGATCTTGAGAAAAACAGATTTGATCCTGGAACATCCACGCTATCGATTCAGCAGCGGAAATTGTATATTTGTTCCGTAACGTTCGAAATATCGCGGCAACGTTGTTGCAACTAGGACTGGAAATGGTTGAATTTTTATTTTAACGAAAATATCGAAACACGAATATAGGTAACAAACTAAATTCAATATTTCTCATATATGATACACGAAGTGAAACAGAAAGTAACATTCGGGACGTTTAACTACCGGAATATTCTCTAAACACGGCTCAGAGCGCAAAGGGAAGTATCGTATTAGGGGCAGAAAGTAGAGACGATAAGATGATAGCGTAACATCCGGTAGCAAGATGAATTGTAATGACAGTAACAAAAGGGAAGGATAAACAAATTTTTTACGCTTTGTTTCGCAAATACGAGGGTCGTTCGATAAGTTCTTAGAAAATCCAAGACCTGGCACTCGTAGCATCAGAAATGGTTTGTTTTTAGTAAGCATCATGATTCACTAGACAGCTGTCAATGTCTCGGTTATATCCACCACATAGTTTCATTTTTATTGTCGATCGAAGCAAGAAACTTCCTTCTGCATGAAGACAATGCACGTGTGTACACCTGTACAGTTTCGATGGTCAAAATTATGGAATTAAAGGTCGAATTGTTACAACATCCACCGTATTCACCGGATTTGGCCCCCGGTGATTTTTTTATATCCAAACTTAAACAAATAGCTCGATGGAGAACGGTTCACGTCGAACGAGGAGGTCACTGCCCAAACAGATACCTATTTTGAGAACCTTCCGAAATTTTACTGTTTAGATGGTTTAATAAAGTTGGAGAAACGCTTGGAAAAGTGTACAGATCTAAAAGGAGATTAAGTTAAAAATTAATCTAGATAAAATAATTTGTTTTTCTATCTTTTTCTAATGACTTATCGAACGATCCCTGTATATTTCTTCATTCTCTTCGTTCGTCGTAATTTACATAGCGGAAATATTTCGTAACGTTTTCCTCTGCTTTTCAATTTTCTTGGTATAGAATTTTACGAAGATTTCCAGGAACTAAAGTTCTACTATCGATAATACCAATTCGCTAATAAGTCATGCGTCCTTACCACTTTCACCCTTTCAGCGGTGGAAACCAGCAAACAGCAATATAACACAAACAACAAAACCAATGATGCAGACCTCATTCTCCCGCATACAAAATTACGGATATATTTAATGTAGATTTTATATCAAAGCATAGAGAAACCACGATTCGAAATATGAAGGAACAATAAGAACAACTCCACAGGTTTTTCTACGTATCACCATCAACTATCAGCTTGACATCTGAGCGAAGGTCGCATCCACACTGTAGCAGTACTCTTCTTGCGAGCAGTAGCTAACGTGAGTAATGCACCAAACGTCGTTCAGTCGCTTTGCAGGGACCATTCGTAGCTAAATTAGCAATTATCAGCGATGCTCGTAGGAGCAGCAATGATAAATACGTTCGATACTCCTACAATACGTAAGCAAAATTACATACGTATTTGATTGTACGTAAATTCTTTGCGTTTCGTTTATTGAAAATTAGAGCTATATTATTTTAAAGATAACCATTCGTTCAATCGATTATACGGGATGTCCTGGGTGTTATCTAATCGAAAAATATTGTACGAATGTTAGCTATAAACGTTTACTGACGAAGTCACACGACATCAAATATCTAATTAAAAAGAATTACACAACAAGAAATGTTTGCCCGAATACGTTTGTTCGGCATTGAGATACAGTGAGATAAAAATTGAAAATTCCAGAATCATATTCCATTCTACGTTTCGGTGAAACATTAGCCGTAGGATCGATAATGTAACATTTAAAGATTATAATCTTTCTAAAGAAAAGCCTGATAAATGCTTACGCGTGAGATAAGCACGAACTTTGTATTATATTTAATACAGAAATATTTTTGTATCATTGTTCCCTTTAAATCAAAGATCTACGGTGGCACGTTTCGTTGTCAGCGATCTCGATAACGTTCTGGAACATTCCGATTTCCAATTCGATTAATCGTCATCGAAAATAACACGAATTTTATCAATACTTTGAAATCGGGATAAGAAGAACCGCAACTATCGATACAAGTAGCTCAAATACTGAAAAAAAATCATGCAAGGAAAAAAACGATTTTTAATAATTGTCGGTACTTTGTATCCGTTTTCACAAAATTCTAACAAATTGTCATATAAAAATTGCTCCCACAGAATAGAGATCGTCCCAAACTATTGATGATTGTAATAATAATATGAAACATTGATGCTTATAATAAACTTTATTTGATTGTTACATATTATTAAATGCAAGAAGCAGATTATGTGACACTGTTTAGGCGTCGATTAGCTTCGTGAAAAGCAAAACACGTTAGTGCATATATTGCATTAAAAATACATTAATGGCGTTTGCAATCGTTACGGGGATTGTACGGGTAGTCGCAGGTCTGGACCATGGGGTTGTATTCTGTTCCTGCACCGCAATCTCGAAGAGTGCAAATGCCATGATCGCCGCATAGCCAGAACTTTGAACAATCTTCCTCGTAAACTTTAGTAGTGGCCTGAAATTATTAAAGCATAGTATCTATCAGTATTTATTTCAATTATTTCAATTTATCAGCACTAATCCCACTGGAATGTGACTTCGAGTTACACACCGTAAGTTTGAGTAATTTTTACGTATTATTATATCATAGAATAAATATGCAAAAGAACACTTACTGCCTCTGCGTAAAAGAAGAAAGCGATGCAAAGCATCAGACTGACCAAAGTTGAGGTGAAATTCATACTGGCGATCGTTGTTCTTCCAAATTCGTTTCACAAATAAGACTAATTTCCTTACCAATCGTTCTTATATTTATACTCATCGATAACAATGTGATAACAATATGCTATCTAGTTTTCCATAAATATTTCACAAACATGTCTAAAAAACAATACCTAATTATTGCTAGATTATCGAAGTTTATGTACTTGAGATATGCCATGGACGTATTGAAGGACGTTAAATATACATACGTGAATCAGAAATTTGCACAAATGTGTAAAAAATTTACAAAACGTGCAAACTACCCTGTGAAATATTATAACATGTTATTATGCCTTTGAAAATACTTTATTCGATGTAAAATAAATTTAGCAAATTGGAAGAAAATTGTAATTGTAGTAAACGAAACGTAACAAAGGAAATCCAGTACCAAGAAGATGTTAAACAATATTTTACAATTAACAACTTGTTTAAAATAAATAGATTAATGTTATCGATAGAAATAATATTTACGATGCAAAAAAATATATACGTATATAAACGTAAGTAGATATTTAAACTATCCGCTGCTTTCTGCAAATTGCAAATCTCCTTCGCTACTTTCGTTAACATGGTTTATCCCAGTGTTTTTCAATGTTTGAATTGTAAACAACCTTTAGGTTTTTTTTCTTTTTTTTTTTTTTTTGAGCGTTTTAGGTCACATCCACCTTGTTGGTTATTAATGACCACAATTGGGTTACCTGGTGGAACTGATCATATTTAGAGCAATTGGTATACTTTAATAAGTTTAAAACTTTTTTGCATGAGTCTATTTCTCGTAGCACGTCCATACCGCACATCCAGCCCCCTGTCCTGATTTTGGGGCATCAGTGAAAATTTGCGTATGGTGTGGGTATTCATTAGATAATTCAGTATATGTATAGACTTTTGAGAACGTTTGAGTTGGTGTTTTTTCCTACTTCCAGAATTATTTCGAGTATGCAAGGAAGATCTATCGTCCATGGTGGAATTTGATACTGTATTCTAGATATAATTTTTGGTGTATCCATATTTAGTTCTTGCCAGGTAATGAATGAGTGCAGTTACATTATGTGAGAGTTTCGATTAAAGGCATTGCCGACTATGTGTGTGCGTTTCGCGTGAAGTATGCATTTAGAAGTTGTTCATTTTATTAGTTAATCGTTTGTTAATAATAATTTAGTCAGTTACGTTCGAGTCAGCTTTCCGTACAAACCATTGTATTAAGATGTTAAAGGGAAAATATCTAAAATATCTTACAGAATAATGAAGGTTCTATTGTACCACGTGTCAATTGCAAATCGTCAGGGACCATTGTGCACAAGACCTTTACATAGTAGGTTCACGACTTTGATAAGACTACGAAACATTGATGGCATTAACAACAAATTTTATTCGATTATTACATATTGTTGAAACTTTACATTAACATTTACAAATATTAAATGCACTTCTTCGCTGTTCCCATTGGAAAATGCGGCACTGATTCGATAATAACTTGCTCTGGAGACATTTAGTAAGTTATTGGTACAATGTATGGACTTTGCAATCCGTACGGGGGCCGGTAGGGATGTCACACAGTCCAATCACAGGATTAAATTCGAGTCCTTCACGGCAATCATAAATGTTACATATGCTATTAATACACTCCTCGTACTTGCGACAGTCTTCCGGGACCATTTTGACTTCCGCCTAAAATAGTTAAAACACATTAAATATCAACATTTATTTCAATTAAAAAATTTCTTCCTAACAATTGGTGACTATGTGTCAGTTAAGTTCTGATAATTAATTTAGAAACAACTAGAAATACAAGATTGAGCACAATTTTTCATCATTTATTGTTATATTAATTTTTCATATTGCAGTAATTTACGTTTATCAAATTGTGCTACCTATTGCGAACGAAATGGTCTATTTGTTACATTTGGTAAACTTTCTGACACAAACTCGTTGAAAATTGTTTATAATTACGGAAAACAGAAAGAAAAGACTTACAGCTGACCCAGAGAAGAGGGAAGCGATGCAAAGCATCATGAATGCAAAGATTGCGAAATATTTCATAGTGATTAATGGGTTCTTTCAAATACGGTTTTCGAATTTAACTACTTTCATATCCGAAGAGACCGTTCTTATATACAGATCTGATTTAAGTGATTATCTTATCTTCACCTCAATACGAGAAATATTTTCGACACTCGTAAATCATATCAAATTTAATTTATTTATTCGCATCACATATAGGTAGGAGTAAGATTGATCACGCGTACGAAATTCTTTAATAATATTTTATTCGATGTTTACATGCAATGTATAAACGAAACGAAATATACAGTGTTACGTAGATAATTAATTCAGTTATACGTAAAATAGGCCAAGTTATGAGCCGTCGCCATTATTCATGCCAATCCTATTATTCATAATTATTTTCGGAGAACTGTCATTATGTCAAACATAACGTATGAGTGCAATCGCCGTTGAAAACGAAAAAAAAACAAATACACACCAGTTTATTTCTTATATGTATATCAACTTTTGTTACACTACATTTTCATGAAAACAATGCATTGATAATTATTTAAATAGTTCAATTAAACGAAACTGTACTTTTCAAATAAAACTTAGTTAGAGTAATGATACTACAACTATTCCGGTATGGTCTAGTGGCTAGGATACCTGGCTTTCACCCAGGAGGCTCGGGTTCGATTCCCGGTACCGGAAAATCATATTTTCTTTTTACATAAAATTTTTACTTTTTTTGAAAGTTTTAAAGTCAATAATTTTAATTTATATACATATACATTAATAATATTCGCATATGTATATTACCACACTATACATGTACGAAATTGTTTCGCGTCAACTAAATTAAGCTAAATTCGATTTCCATCAATCATATATTTAATTTGTTGATCCTATGTAAGATACGAAATTAAATAATAAATACAAAAGACGATAATAGGATTCCTGTACGATTACAGTATATGAAATAATGGTTATAATAAGATACAACTAATGAAAGACACCTAAACAATAAGCATAGTTACATTGTTAAAATAGACAATAAAAAACATAATGAATCGAGCATTGATTTATCTTCTTTCGTGGATTATGTCGCGGATAGAAGATTAATGGTGAAACGATTTATCGGGTTATTTAATATATTATTATCTGTTGTCGGTTCGATGCGGCAAAGGTCGTTATTATGATGTAGCAATTCACATCTTCTTGCAAGCAATAGACAAAGTGCATAAAAATTAGATATCGTTTGAATAACGTTTACGATTACTCATAGTTGAATTCCAAATTTATCAATACTGTTTCGTAAGAACACCGGCATAGTTTGTAAAGTGCATTCAATACTGTTCGCATTAAAAATTTAAAAAAAAGTTATCTTTTAAGCGACTACAATTATACGACTTTCTGTGCCAAAATATCGAAGAATAAATAATCTGAATTGATCCAATAATACCGGAAACGATTAGTGTGATTAATTTGTTTATCTAGTATAATTAATGAGATAGCAATTTCGAACAGGCAGAACACGGACACGCGTTTACTAGTTGAATGTATATTATAATATTAAGGTAGTAAATTAATAAAAAGGATTAGTAGTGCATTACTTATTTTTAATTCTTTATTAATACATTTTATATACTTATTTTATTTCTCTATCCACGATTCAGTTATAAAATTCACATATGTACGTGTAATAGAGATTATATAATTTTACATATAAAATTATAATTTAATTAGAACCATCAATAGGCACAATTTCTAAATGGTTCACAAATATAATAAATTTTATTTCATTAATCCACCTCGATAAAAATAATTGCAAAAGGAACAATGGCCCAATTCACTTTTTCACTACTTTGCTTGTGTATCTCTTCATTGGAGCAATATAATGCCAATGTAACATCAACTTCCACCATAAATATCTATCAATATCCACGATTGTTACAATCCATGCGGTTTGCTAGAGGGTAGTCGCAAGTTCCAATATTTGGATTGAATTCCGTTCCTGCACCACACGATAATACAAAACATCCGCTCGCATCGCAATGTTGGTACTTTGTGCAATCGCCTGGATATGGCAAAACTTCTCCCTAAAATTATCGAAACGTAATGTACATAAGTATTTATTTTTAATTAATTTATACGTGATCCTTGGCCATATAAATGACGTCAAGTACCAAATATAATAACCAATAAAATATCAATTAATTTCTAATGTTACAATATTTTAATTAGCAATGGATCTATAATTCAAATAAGTTATACCTTTTGCAACCACACAATAAACATACAATAAGATTTACAGACTACAGTTATTAAAAAATTCATTACGTTTATACAATTATGAGCGTTGAAAGAAAATACTTACATGTGTTGACCCACAGAAGAAGAAGCTGATGCAAAGAATTGCGCACAGCAAGATCGTGTAGAGCTTCATACTGACCGTTGTTTCTTCTGCAAATACGTTCTTCGAATCTAAAGTGCCTCCTTTGCCGAAGAAATTGATTTTATATACGTATCATCTAAGTATAAACAAGGAACATGATTTCACGTCCTATCTGGAAACAAATTTTTTCAATGACCCATTACCGTTTTCATCATCGGCATCTTGTGCAAGGTGACCTTTTTTACGACCTTAGATCAAAGTCACTGATAACATTTCGATTTTGTTTATTCTAAGTATTTTAAATGGAAATCAGCATATTTAGAACGGTTGTAGATTAACAGACTCGTGACAATTGTCAACAATATATTAGCAATGTTACTTCCCTTTCATTGTTTCGTGCATTAGATTATTAAATTAAATGAAACTAATAATTTAGTTTGATCAAACGTAATATATACCTGTTATTGTTTAGCTACATTTCGTTCTAAATGAAGTTTCTGTTTCACGCTTTTGTATAATTCTGCATATGGATGTTGCAATTCGGAATCCGTTTTAGGTATTCTTCCTAATCTACGAATCTTTGGTGACAGTAACAGAAGAGTTTGAGAAAGCGCGTAGACATTATTTGACGTCCAGAACAAGGTCAAACACTATAATATTTATTTTACAAAAGTTAATAGAAAACTTTGGGAAAAAGAATTGATTATTTCAGTGTTTCTCAACAATGTGTATAACTTACAGATGGTATATATGCCATTATAGGCACTAAGCAAACAGTTATTATTCTAAAAAAATTGGTCAATATTCTTCTAAATTTTGTGTTGTTTTCTTTGTATAGCATATTCTGAATCTGAAAAATAAATTATTTTACCATAAAAATATTCTGGTTTAAAAAAGGGGAGATAAATGTTTAAATACGTACTTCTATCAAGGCCAAGCCAGTAAATCCAAAAATAATAGGTAACATAAATGAATGATCCATCTCTATGAGATTTTGCATCCATCCAAAACCACCATTAGTGAATTCAAGATAATCTTGATAAGCAACTGATACAATATATTTTGTACATTAAACTTTGTCAATTGTAACCCAAATGCACAAAATATAAGATATGCAGTACTTACCTTCGTCTCTGTACGGTAACATGAAACAAATATTTCTCAAAGCGAATGAAAAACCCACCCATACTGGCATTTGTAATATTCCCATTACTACGATTTTAAGCGGATGACAATTTTCTTTAATTATTAATTCTTTCCATTCTTTGCTTACCTGTTATAAAAAACAAATTATTTTGTACTTTGCGCTAACTCAAGTAGAATATATTTTTAAATTTAGTTTAAAAATATATACAGAAACTGATTTGATATAGAAGCAAAAGATCTACATTTTGATTATAAACGCTCGTCGCATAGGATGGACTCCAATCCAAAGTTTTTACTGCCATTCTTGCCTCCATTTTCAATTTTTCTGCTATTGGTTTCATTTCGTGTTGTAGATTTTCTAGTTTAGCTCTAACTTGAAGCTAAAATGATCATTCATGAAACGGAAGTAATTCTCTTGAGATAGACGTAAAATGATTCCAATGAAACGATAACACTTACTTGATGTATAGCTAATGGTAAAGTTATAAATGTTCTAGCACATAATGTTGTAAGAATAATAGTCGCCCACCATGGTAATCCTGTATTATGATGCATCGCTCTCAATGCATCCATGATGCATTCTACAAGATAACTTTCAGAGATAATTTTAACAATACCATTGTTGTATACGACAGCTTTATTTAAAATCAAAGGTAAGGTTGAATCTGAATATTGTCTAATACTGTTTACTGTAGCGAAATGATTGATAGAGTTTGCTCTAGGCAGTATTGTATTATTTTGAGAACATAGTGGCCCATTAACTATAGGTATAACCGTTCGTTGCAAAGGTGTTCCTGGTGTTTTTGAGAAATTCTGCTCGTTCGAAGAATAACCGAGCAATACTTTATTTTCAGAAAATAAATGTGTGTTTAAATTCCGATAAGAAACATTACTCGAACGATCGTTAATAGAATGGTATTTCATAAAAATACTATTACTGTGTTTAAAATCTAATGTTAATTTCTGAAATATTCGTGCAATCATTCTGGTAATAATACAAGATTAACTAAATAATAAGAAACACTTTTAACGAAACTATGAAACAAACATATTTGTTCCATGCATTTGCATCTGTATAACTGAAATACATAGGTTAGTTTCTCAGATAATTTTATTTTTCTGTTCAATATACAAAATTCCGTCCGTATATGATAATTGTATAAAATGTATATTTCTAATTACATCTATAAATAAATAACAAAGTATTTTGTTTAAATACATTTATTTATAAAAATACAATAAAAATTATGCGCTATATTCGGGAGTATTTATTAAAGGTTTAGAACTCATAAAATCCAATACCACACTTTTGTTGTCATCGCGTAATTTTACTACGCAATTATAGAATCTATACAAAAATTATCAATTTTTTCAAAATGCGTAAGTGCACAGATAGAAGTGAGTACCAGTACCATCTGGGAATAGCTGTAGAATTAGTACACGAACAGTAGAACAGTGTTACCACAGACGAGATATACATCTCGCGCTGAAGTAATCGTACTATTTCTCGACAAACTTGGACGTTTTCCCACCAGAGGGTTTTACATCGAAAATGCGCGCCATCTAGCGTCGAAGATAGCGAATCATTTCTCGACAAATTTGGACGTTTTACCACTTATACCACTTTCGAAATTGGATCAAGGCCATCCCGGATTTCCAATCTGTCCGGAATTTTTCTAAAATGCTGGCGGCCTTGCGAAGAGATGGCACGTATCTTATAACTAAGGGAATGATTTGAAGAGGAAATGAAAGGTAAGAAATGTGTCGTATCTGTATCGTACTGTATCGTAGATAAGAAAACTAACGAAATCAATTATTCAATTGGAATAATACATTATTCTACGTGCTGAAATCGCTTCACTGGAATATACGCTCAAGTAATTACATTTAAATATTTCCAAAAAAACTTTGCAAAAAATTGCCAACAATATCTACAAGTGAATTTTCAGAACACGTAGTAATGTACAATATAATCTAATCTGTTTAGGAACTTGGTACGTTTCATGTAGTAGATTATATCAGAAGTCTTTTACTTAAAAATAAATTCTTAAAATTATTAGAGTATGAGCAATAATAATGTACGAATATTTTTGTTATAAGCAAAAATTTTAGTGTGAATTTTTATTTTCACATTTTGATTGTACGAATACTTTTTCCCTCCACTGTATATGTATATACGAAGATGTAAGTGAACTATATATAATGCGATATCACTATATTGTTTCATGAATATCATTTTTTCACGTTATAAAATATCGAATATATTGATTCATCTTCATTTAAACAAAACTATTGATTCGAGACATTTGTTTGCACATGCTTATTACAGAACTATCATACGTTTCCAGTTCTTTGACACAGTGACGAGCGTTTCTTTTAACGTAGAAAATCTCACAATCGATACACTTCTTTTTCCAAATTAAGTAGCTTTCGATATTAATTACCATGTAGGGTAATTATAAAACAAAGACTCGGTTCCGTTGCTCGAACGTTCGTCGTTGGCATTAATCGGCGAAAAGAATGTGTATTCAGCGTACCAAACTTAATCCGAATCAGTTGCAAAAGAAAAAAAAAAATGAAGATATCTGTGTCACGTACACGACGAAACTCCCTCGAATCAAAGCGCAACGTTCCAGGGAGTTGGAAGGAGATGTCGCGCAACGAGTATCTTTGCATTGACAATTTACCATCCCTTCTTTCTCACAGAACCGCAGCTCGCACCATCATGTCGATTTCCATCCTCCCCCAGCCCCGTGGACGGGGAGGAAACGGCGACGTACAGTTTCATCGACAAATGGCATCGCGTCCCTAGCAGCCACCTACGACGTCGGTCTAATCTCGCGGCACCGGTTGGTCGTTGCGATCCTCGCTCTTTTCTGTCGTCGAATGGGCGTGCTGGAAACGCCCATCACCCCTTGCTACATAGATCTGCACCCCTGTGCCGTCTCAGGGGTGGAGTCGACCAATGACACGGTGGTAACGCTCGTCTGACAACGTGGCCTTCGGAGCCGCCCCCGCATTTCCCGTGGCTAACTAGCACTACCCCACTATAGACGCGTCAGCCACTCGGCCAGCAAGTCCGCGGGCCGTCTAGTCGCCCGCTCGAATTCCCTACCCTATCCTGCTGTCACCTTCCTCTGACACCCCCTCCTCGTCTATGCCACCCAACACTTCTAGGCCAACGTACCAGCCACACCGACGGAAGCGGTGTACATCGCGCGATAGCCTGACCAAAGCTGCGCGCAGCGATGGCTTCGACCTCAGATTCATCCTGATCCAGAAAATCAGGCTGTTGGAATTCTCGGTACAGTTTCACGGAAGAATACCTTTAAATTCTGTAAGTCTTCGATACACAAGCAGCCCTAATATCGGGGGTGATTCTACGCAAAAAAAGAATAGGAATTTCTCTTGCAAGGCTTCATTGTCGAGAAAATCGACTCTGAATATCGGTCCAAGTAGAAACAACCAACAATGGTCAGACGTGTCGAACGATTATTCAAAGTTGATTCCTCGTCGTGGGAGCCCCGAGCAAACAAATCCTATCCTTCATTTTTTATTTATCTTTTTCACGTAGAGTCACCCCCTGTACTGCATTTACCTGTCATTGTCCAGATCCGGTTCTACCAGACTTCGCAGGGAGAACACGAGAGGATCGACGCCATCGCTAGCCGCACATCGAAGTCACAGCTACGCCGACTCGTGGCCGTTTAGGAAGTTCTGTACGTGTGTTAGGCGTCGCCCACACGGCCGAGACCACCCCAGCTGCCCCTCTGCCCCCATCGTCACGTCGAGCGTGCTGAAGAACGACCCGTGATTCCACGTAGTATGGCCACGGTCAGGAGAGATAGGTAATTCCGACAGCCAGTCGGGCAGCAGCCCCTGTATGTGCGTACGCGGGCGGACAGACGCATCGTGCATACACCTACACGGCCACCAACACGAGCACGGTCGCGGGTACGCCCTTCCCGGCCGAGATGAGTAGGTACACCGAGGCTCGAAGCCACCCCGTCACGGAGAACGCTTCGGGACTTCGCGCGACTCCCTCGGCGTCGTGTCGGAACGACCACCAGCCCCGTTGTCCGTCTGGGGATGCTCGACTTTTGATCAGCCGCGAAGGATGGGCACAGGTCAGTTCGATAAGGCGCGCCTCTTGCTTATATTGCCACCGATACGCAGGGGTGGCGAACCACCCCCTCCTCGGGCACGTGCTCAGTGTACAGTGACCGACGTTTCTTTTCTTTAATTTGCCTCGTTTGTTTGCAGTTACTATCTCTATTGTTTTTTTTTTCTTTTTTGCCTCCGATTTTCGTACATCGATTGTGACTCGATAGACCTGTACGCTCCCACGTACATACGTCCTCGCGGGTGTGCTCGAATCGAATCGTTCGAACGTTGTTTCCGGCGAGTTTATTTTTTCTTCCTTTTTTCGTTCGGTTTTGTGTCGTTTTTCTTTGCGTTTGGTTTTTGAATATTTTCGGGGGATTTTGTTTTACGTTGCTCGCACGCGATCGGATCGAATATAAGTTTTTAGCTTTTGTGTGAAATTATGCGGGGTTTTTTGACAATAAGCGTTGCGAAATTTTTGATGCGTTTTGTAAGAGCTTGATAATGGATATGCTTCAGAGATACTGCAAATATGTTTGTGTCTGATATGTGGACGATAGTGAATGTTTGATTTTGGTTCGTTGTTTCTGAAGTAGCGCACCCCCCTTCATCATAAAAAATTCGGAGCACGTTCTGTTACTAGAGGCGTACAAAAACTCCGCGAGATTAATTTTCGATTCTAGTAATGCAAGCGTTTTAGTTCCGTCCACTCGTTAAATTTCGATAACTCTGGACATTTGTCTGTTATCTGTGAATACTATATAATCTTAAAATCTTTAGGAAAAATTAAATTCAACCTATTTGATTCACAATCCTGTTCGATGAACTTTACCCATTTGCAAATATTTTCAATGATTGCATTCTTTCACGAACTTTCTCCCCGGTCCTTTAAATACCTGCAATTGCATAATCACAGTCGTAATCCCAGGACAACCGTCCAATACGATTACTTTTACCTATAGATCTCTCAAACATTCGATAGAAGATAACAAAAGTAAAATTTTTATGTCGTCTTCAACGCGTGCTAGGAAATCGTTCGCTTTGGTTTCGAATCTTAGGATATAACTCTCATTGGCTGTCGAAGCCATTTATACCTAATCGACATATAGGATATAAGACAATAGCGTGCAGGTGTGCGTTCAAACGTCGAAGGAGGTAATCTGTTGGGGTTGAAATAACTCGTCTGATCGGGTTAGGTTGGTAGGTTTTTGGGTGTGAGAAGAAGGTGGTTGGTTCCCCAGGCCAGAAACGGAAGCTTTGGTTGGCTTAAGCATGGCCGTGTTTTTCTTACCGCGGATCATTAGGGCGATTAGGGTTCCTTCGAAAAGGGAGAGAACAGATTAAAGCTCGAGTTCTTCTTGCAGTCCGCTTCGCTTTCTAAAACGGACGCCTCTTTCCACCGGCTTCTCGCGTTTTTAAGTTCCCTGTGTTCCCTCTACGGAGATACAGGGCATTCGTAAAGCTCCCATCTATTCTCACGATTGACAGAAAAATTATATCGAATCCATAAGTGATATTTATCGTCTGATTAAAAGTAGTTTGATATTACATCCATCAGTGACTTTGCACGGTTTAAGACGTTCCTCAAGCTTCTTATACACACCCTGGAGTAGTGGTATAGTTATGCTATCTGCAGTAATTGTTATTTATTTACGTACATTTACCACACTCGCTATCTTCATCAAACAGACGCTAAAAGGGTTAAATCTAGCGATTTAACTAGCCTAGGTCTGTTATTTCCATGCCCGATACGAAACGTTTACGTACATAATTGTCGATCAAATATAATTTTTAAAGTGCATTATTTAATTTAGTGTGTTTCTGTTTGCTTAACGTGTGTCAAATAACTGTAATTGCTAAACTTATATATCATCAGATCACTTGATCTCTGATAAAGTAAAATTCCTGGGGTTTACTGTACCATGTAAGAACAGCATTTATATGGCAAAATGAAACGTTTAACTGTATATCTGAATGCTGTGAGTTTGTGTAGAATAACTTTAGGATAATCGCGATGAAATTTGTGTAAAAAAGAAGATTATTTCATTTAAATGGTTGTCAAGTATGGAATGAAGTAGTGCTTCTCTTGTTAAGTCAGACGCGCAGATAAATCCATTTCCTACTACTGGCGTGGTAATCAACGAATTTGTTTTATTATACTGATTCGTCGTTTCACATAGAAAAATTCTGTAACTTTTGCTGTTATATGTGCATATGGAATATGTTTTGCGAAGAATTCATTTTATTTCATTTTTTGTTACAACGTGCTTGACTTTAACTCGATGTATATAGAAAATGTTTAATCACGTACCGATTTATCCTTTTTGTGTCAGACCAAAGGAAATCTAATAGTGCATCGTATTTTTTCTTTTAAAATAATTTTAAAAGTAGCATGTTTCCGTGTCCGACAATTGCAAGCCATTTCTACTGTAAGTGTTTGCTGCAACACTTTCTTTAATTCTTGTTGCGTAACGAAGCGAAAATTTATTGATTATCGAAGAATAAAAATAATTCGTTTAGTTCTAGCGAAAAGTCAATATAAATAAAGTTCTGTAAAACGATATATATATTACCACATTTGGTCAATTGATGCGCTTTCCTTTCCGATTGTACGTGATCTTATTTCGGTGAATACATCTATTTCTGAAAGACCATGTTATTGACGTAAGACATTTTATTTTCGTTTGCCAATTGACCTAACCGTAAAGTCAATTTCTGTTGCAGGAGACAGATTACTTGATATACTGTGTAATGTATGCGGTGATCGTAGCTCCGGAAAACACTACGGCATCTACAGTTGCGACGGTAATTACTAATCTCTTCTATACTTTAATCTTCCTTGGAAATCTTATAATAAATAACAGATTCGTTGATTACAATTCCTTTTCAATTATGATTTCGTTTTTAAAAATATTTTAGTAGACTTTTGTTCGTGACAAACAACCGGATACCAGATTCAAGACAAACGTAATAATACCCACACCGTTTTTTTATTTCTGAATGCAAGTCTCAGAAGAATTAAACTCTTAACTGGCAAATAAATTGATAGACAGAACTGGTAAACAATTTCACTGACGGCGTAGATGCTTGGACATTAAATTTCACAATAGTCGTGGAATGCTAGTGGAAAAGAAAATAATTCATTACGGACATTAAATCTATGTTCTTTTTTTACGATTCGCCCGACGGCGTCAAGATTCATCTTTTTAACTCGAAATAATACAGTAAATTAATTGATAATACTTAACCGAATCGTAAAGAAGGGGACACGTGTCTCATGCGTGTGAAATTTTTTAATTCGAAGCAAACTTGCGCGAAATTGAACCAATATTAAATTCACACGTGACACCGATACAAAAATAGAATAAATAATATACGATCGTCGCTTCAGACGGACGCAGAATTTATTTTCCAACATTATTTATCGTTTGCCAGTGAACACGATCAGCTACAAAACTATTCCTTTCATTCTATTCGAATCACATAATTTCACGTGTTTATTGTTGTCGTTTGCACGAATTGCAAGCAGTCGTTGTTGGTGATTTTTGCAAACGGATCGCACGTCTCGCATTGTTCCGACGCTTTATTTGCATTTCTAGTTTGTGGGCGTATAAACCAACGTGACCGTTCAGCTAATCTCGACAAACTAGTGGTGGCAGAGCAGTTTGAAGTTTGAAGTTTGAAATTTGACTCTTTTAAATGCGATGGGGCAATATTTCTGACCGGAACACCATAGTCGTTTTCTCTCTGAACTCAACTGGACAAATTCACATTTTATTATTTACCGATTAAATATAATTAGGCATTACTGTTGGTCAAACTTTGTCCGCGTATTTTACTACTAATCGTACCTATACAAGAATGTACAAAAGTTTAACGCGAATTTTCACAACGTTACGCACACGATCTCATTGATCCTCAGGTTGCTCAGGATTTTTCAAGAGGAGCATTCACAACAGACGAGAATACATTTGCAAGGAACAGGGTGCTAAGAAAGGGCGCTGCCCCATTGACAAGACGCGTAGGAACCAATGCCGTGCTTGCCGTCTTGCTAAGTGTTTTGCAGCTAACATGAACAGGGACGGTAAGTGATAAAAATTACATAAATTATCGCGCGGAACACTGATCGTCGGAAACAATGTCGATCGAAGTGCTGAACATGTTTGTCACGATACGTGATCGTGAATCTTTAAACCGAATAACAACTGTCGGTGTCGTTACACGCGATCGTATCGTGTCAATTGTAATCAGAGTATCAACTTGATAGGAATTAAGATGACCAGAAAATCGGGCAGTGGACACGTCGAACGACAGAATAAGATAATTTTACCCTTACGGTTTCGTGGATCAAAGGTGTTCGAGCCACAAATACACCGCGAAGAAGTGACTTTGGCTGTTGGTCAGACAAACCCTCTAAGCAAACGTGGGCCCAGCGAAACAGCAATCAAGTTGAAATAGTCTGTTTGTTATTGGTTTCACGTGTCCTCCCTTGAAACGAATATCCAGTTTATCACACGGAGAAATATTGAAATCTATTTCCATTTTAGACTTTGCCTTCGATTAATTATTAGTACGATCGCATTCTTTATTTTCCAATTTGTCTATTTTTATCAGTTTTAACATCAAGAAGGTTTTCAAGATTGAAAAGAGAAATTGTGCAAGTTTTATTAATTTAATGAAAATATGTAGCTCCCAATTTTTCGTAAACATTTATTTTGATTATCTTTAACGATGACGGCTAATAGATTCGTCTGAAGTAGTTCAGTTTTCTCTACGTGTCTATATTAATCGACGGTGTGAGACACATCGAGAGAAGCACATCGAATGTGAGGACTTAATAATAATTTTGCAGAATCATGCCACGTTTCGCTTTTTCACGATCTCTCACTTGATCGTAACTTCGTCCCCCTCGACCGTTTCTTGCGATACGCGCAAAAAATAATGAAACGAATATACTACACGAACGTTAATAAAAAGGAAATTAAAAGGAAACTTACACTCTTGACTTTTCGATTAGACGTTTTAGGATCATTCTCAACAAGCTTGAGAATAAATTCGCATTTACAAAAATTAACATTGCATTTCGCGTACTTGTTACAATCTTCTCTAATCGTCCATAGTCCATAGTACGATAAACCAGTAAACCACATGTCAATTCCTATTCTATTACACGCGTGACGTATTGTCAATTCCAACGCAATACAGTCGCTTGTTTGTCATACAAACTGAGATATAATAGCAAACGATCGCTATTGGTGACTCTTATACAACATGGACGTATGAAGACTCGACAAAATTATTATACGGAGGATTTATAAAATAATTTAATTTATTGTTTCCCGTTCGAACAAAATAAACCGAAAATACAGATACGTTCAAAAGTAAAATAGTTCGCGTTTTACCAGGCGTTTCTCCGCGAAACGCGAACGTTGACGGCGTGCCAAAAACTTTCGATCGGTAGCGTACACGCTCTTCGATAAACGTTGCCAACCATTTCCATTTAATTAATTAATCGCTCGAAAACTCGTAATCTCCTTTCGATGCGGCATTACATTATGTCCCCGATCGCAGCCCGAATAGTAATTAAACGTCTATTTGCTGTAAATTTTATCGTTTTTCTTGTACGGTGCTCCGTAAACATCGTGTTGCCTCCGAAATTACGAACGAACGAATCGCAATTAAACAGTAATGAACGGGCATTATTCGTTTCACCGTTCCGACGACTGGATGCATCGCGCGCAAAGAAATCCCCGTAATGGTACTTTAAAACGAATCGAGGACGGCTCGAAGTTTCCCGTTTTGTTATTGGAACCGTTTCATCGAGGTATCGATTTAGAGTTGTATTTTGCGTGGCACGGCAAATCCGATTTGATATCGAGAAGTACACGACTATATACACGTAATCCTGGTTTGATATTTCAACCGAATACTCGGGCACATTTATAAGCGATTCTTGCTCGGTATATCGACTTCGGTATAAAATTAAGCGTCGACAAAATATAACGATAAATCGTATTCGATTTAATCGTGCATTATATACGAGCGAATCGGGAGATTGTTTCTTCGAACACTGCGTTCTTTACGATTAAATTTCGTCGGAGTTGTTATTAATATTAAACTTTAGAATCGCTAGAATAATATTGTTTATCGATTGTAACGTGGATTCCTAGAAACATGTTCCCTTCAAGAATTCTGTTAAACGTCACGCGAGAAACAAATATGGCGGCTACCGACAATCGAAAGTTGTATCGTTCTTGTTGGTAAGGTAGCTGAAAAATAAGAGTATCCAGGTGAAAAGAAAGGCTGGTACGAACGAGGCAGAAGCAAATAACAAGAAGATGAAGGAGAACGAAGAAGAAAGATAAAGAGAGACGAAACATATTCAAAGGAAGGTAGAGAGCAAGGCGGAGCGAGAAGGACGCGAGGCAGAGGTACATATCGAAAGAGAAAAGCAGCCAGGGGCGGACCAGACCGCTCGATGGGGATGAGGGTGCCCAGGGTGTCGGGGGTGCTTAATGCAGGACGGGTGCTCCGGTTCCCAGCGGTTGCTGAGGCTTCAGACGCGAGTAAGAGAGGAGATTCAATTAGTGGCAGAGCTTCCTAACGTTAAGGAGACTCCACACGGGGTGAAGCGTGCTTCTCCCTCTCGCGTTTGTCGTGTCCCTCTCCCTCTCACGGTCATCATCCACGTAAACGCGCCAGTACATGCTAGTTACGAAACGCTTTCCCCGGTTGCCGCTGCTTTCCTGGAAATTAGCGGTAGTTCGCGAAGATAATCAACGGGGATGAATCCTGCACACGAAGGGGTCGGTTCTACGACGCTGGCTATGGCGGCGGATGAAAGGAACGACGCAGGTAATTTTCGAGGGATGTAATTGTTGGACGTCGCGATAGAAATCGTTAGAAGGAGCTTCGATTCGTTCGAATCGAGATCATTTTTCAGACGATATTCGACCGAGAAACGTAATTATATTCGATGATGGCCGTGGAAGAGCGATGCCCAAATGATACAAATGTAAGGGATGAAGTGAAACTAGTACAGGTTTATGAAAAGGAAAGACGGTTATGAGACAGAAATGAATAGAAAGAAGAAGAACGAACCATAGTTCTTAATTCTTTTTGATTTATCCACTTCGGGAACAATGATCTCTGATATTTGCAGTGTTAGGTACTTCTCTATAGTGAAACACCGAATACTCTGTAAAACGAAAATTTTGATTTTGGACCAATGTAAACTGTACAATCTACAATTTGCTTCTTATTTTTGTGCACGAACTCTATCCAAATTAATTTTCCTGACTGTCTCAGCCTAAGTAACTGACTGTCACCCCAGTGTCGATATGTGGATTCATCATTTGAAATATAACATTTACGAATTATCCTGTACAACTGAGGGGCCAGCCTCGCCATAGTTGAAAGGTTAAGCGTGAAGGTATCGAGTAACGTTGTGAGGAGGCCATAAAGCGTAGGTGACCACTGGGTAAGTGGTATATATTATGTACGCGGTGCTTCGCGAAGCGCCGCCGCAGGCACGCAATCACCCACCGCCTGACAACCCGGAGATCTCTAACCCCTCACACCAGCCTGTACCAGCACCCTCCACGTTCAACGGAAATTCATCCCTCTCTGTGTCATTTGCTCTGCCCGTCTACCTTGCCGCCGAAATGCCTCGCGCGACTCCGAGGCCCCGTATATTTTGCGAAATATGGCGTTAAACGATATCAGAAGATTACAAAGCGGCTTACCGCGACGGATTTGTAACTTGTAAAGGGAAAGAGAGGATTCAACCGCCAAACGTTTCTTCGAGTCGATGGTTTCCGGGGTCCTCGAGGAACTTTTTAGCTCCTATCCTCCTAAAACGCGCGGGGTCTTGCGAGACACGGACCTTGGAAATTTAAAAATTGCGAAAGATTGAACTAACGCGTCTTTTCTAGCTGTGAAATTCACTTTAAGGGATGGGAATTAACCCCCAGATGTTCGTTCGCCTTCTATTCGATCGTTTTAATTCGCAAACCACGCGAGAAATAAAGTTTTTGGGCGAAGGTTGCATCTTTGAAGTAGAATTTGTCGCGTGGTACACGACTCGTAAATTTTTTAAGCAACTTTAAGCAACGAGGAACCCGTAGGCCAAGTCTTGACTTGTCAAGACGAAATAATAAACCCCTCCGGTACTCCCTGCACGGTCAACATCATTTCCAGTGTACACATTCAAATCGGGCGAGACCTTTCGATCCGCAAACTTCGTCTCGTTTCATGCCCAATCGATCGCGGCTCGCAACTTCGAAGTTTAAATCTCTTTGTTTCCGTTCATAATTCGAAGCCACCCTTTCTGGAAAGTACGAAAGTACTCTGAACCGGAATTAAACCGACGCCGCCCTGTGTTTGCCCCTTTCGCCGGTAGAAAATCGGGATTATTTCCAATACTTCGGACTCCACCTTCCTATCATTTGCAGAATCGCTTTCCGCGACGACGGGGAAGAAAATCATTGAAATCACATTAAACCGCGCCATAACTATGCTCGATCGAAATTCGAATAATCTGCTGGATAAGATTGCCTGGCTGTCAGTGTCTTATTAGCTCTAAAAATACTAGGGAGAAAGCATGTTGACTTTTCAAGAATTCTTAAAAATATGGTACACAGGGGCCAACGTAGCGTTCAACCTCCTTTTCCAATTCAAAATGGAGAGATTACTTAACTGTCCGTGTTTTATTAACCTTAGAAATACCGGTGATGTATGTTGACTTTTCAAAATTCTTAAAAATATATTATAGTGTATTAATTCCTTCAAAAATTTGAATTTTGGTCAGTTTTTTCAACGCCAGGTATCAACGTAGCATTCAACCCCCTTTTTCCCAATCCAAGATGCAAAGATTGTTTAACTGGCTGTGTTTTATTATTCCTAGAAACACGAGGGGAGCATATCAAGCCTCCAAAAATTTTTTAAAATATATAATAATATATAAATTCTTTCGAAAAATTGAATTTTGGCCAGCTTCTCAACGCAAGGGTCAAACGTAGGATCCAAACATTCTTAAAAGGATATTATAATACATAAATTCTTTTGAAAAATTGACTTTTGGTC